TACAAACAAATCAAAATATAATCAAATAAATTTAACATAAAATTAAATTAAATACACACATGAAGGAATTTAAACAAGGTGATGTTTCCGAATATTTGTGGGTCTTAAACCATTACTCCACCACCAAGATGAACGGATGAGTCCAACGAAGGGAAATTTTTCTTTTGTCTGAAAAATCTGTTTAGTTTCCAATTTAATGGCAAGATTTAACTTAATGGGTAATTATAATAGTTTCCATTTCATTAATAATATGTTATGGGCAAGATTTTTAAATGGGTGTTGGTTGCCCATATCTCATGGCGTTACCCCTTTTACAATTACTCACACGAGTTTTTATTTATTTATTTATTTATTTTTATAAAATAAGTCACATCTAATATATAAAAAAATTTAAATGTTAAAATTTAAAATAAAAAAAATCATGCATATTAGAGATGATAACATGTCAAAAAGGATTTTTTCACTTTGACTAGATTTTATATATTTAATATATAAACTTGATCCGATATAATATTAAAATATTATTTTTATATTCAAATTCATTTCGATTTGTATATATATAAAATCGTAATCGATTTAATCTTAAATTAATAAAATATTATTTTTTAAATATAAATATAAAATTAAATAAATATAAAATATAAATAAATAAATAATATTACGTATATTTCGGATCAGATTTGGGTGGATTTATCTAAAACCTAACACTGACTAGACTTCAATTTTTTTTGTCAAAAAAGTATACTCGATTCAAAATCTGATTAAAAAAAACCCAACCCTATAAATCAAATTGGATTGGATCAAAACCTAACGGATCCAACCTTAAACTTTATCTACAAGTGACTCTAAAGCTACAAAATTTCCATATACACGACAACTATAGACATTCTGTTCTACATCATCTGTCTCACTGCATTCCTCATCTCCACATCTTTCACACGTTCCATTATCTTATTCTCTTCAGTCTAACGATTGAAAAAATCATTATTGGGATGCTTGATGAGGGTGCATGGAGGTGTTGATGAACCGACAGTAGCTGGTCATTTAAGGAATTCCCTATGTTTCGGTTCTGCCAAGCAAAGCAGCGATTCCTCACATACTTTCTGAGCTGATGATGGCGGAACAGGCTTGAAGTCTTGCAGCTTTGAATATTCTGAAATGAGGTGAAACATGTAATTATACACCCGATCCATGCTTGAACTTTCCATGAGTTGTTGCCCTTTTTTTCCATTTCCCTTAGCTTGTTCACCCAAATTTATCAGAAAGAAAACAAAAAAGGTATTTATACTATTTGGAAAGCACAAATAAAAATCTACTACTCTCTTAGTATGGTTGATAATCATAAGGGTACACTCAGAAACAAGAAATCCAGGTTCAGCAAAACCAACATATGACAATTAAAATTGTTGCAACTGTTAGAAAAAAAAAAAAAAAAAAGAATTTTGACTTTGAGGAGTGAAAAATATTTTCTTAAAAACAATTATGTCTTTAAGATATAACAAAACCTCAAACTCTCTAATTAGAAGTAGTGAAAATAATTATACTAAAAAATTTATTTATAATAAATGAATAGATATAAATTTTTATTCAAATAATTATGACTTTTTGTATAATCGTGACCTTTATAAATAATAATCTATTTATATTCAAATAATTGTGATCATTTGTCTTATGATAATTATTTTTGTTCAAACATAATTATTTAAAATATGAATAAAATTAATACAAAAGTTAACTTTACTTATCAATAATTAAATATTTATATCCAATGTGAATGGATCATATTCTAAACTACCAATAATCTCCCACTAATTTGAAATGTTGGTGCTTAATCTTTAACCTTTCACACAAATAATTATTTTGATACAAAAAGGTATCTCTCGATTTAACCATTCAATTAACATATATATTTTAGAATTCTAACAAAGTTGATGGCATTCGTAGATTAAACTTCAACTCTTAATGTTAGAATTGAATATATAATATACATAATACTTATTTATTTTTTTGTCAAAGGTTTATAACCGTTTTAGTACTATTATATCTATGTGCTTATCCTATTTATAAACATTTACAAGAAAAAACCTAATTCTTTTTGTTGAAGCGTCATCACTTCTATATTTATATAGGTAGAGTTTTCATTACGTCCCTATTGCTTTAGACATTTAAAACTCTATTAAGAGTATAAAAACTTATCACGCAATGGATCACATTAGTTTCTAAAATTTGAATAAATTTTACTAGTATTTAAAAAACACATAACAATATCTTGTTTTTACCCATTAAATTTTCTAATTATAGGTTATTAATTCAATGTTGGGTTTCTATTATTTGTGTCTAATAGTAAGGATTTAAATCCATTCTACTTGTAGTACTACTAACCAAATATTTTGAAATTTAATTTTCTTTGATGATAATTACCTCTACTTAAAATTGAATTTATAATATATTTACTTTATAGATTAAAATGTTCAAACTTTTTATTTTGCATATCATTTATATGTTCTAGACATTGTTACCTCATTCTTGTCATTTTAAGAAATAGATGGTATTAGTTATGGCCGCAACTCTATACTCATAAATTTCAACTATTCTATTTTGATACTTTTATTACATCTTTAATACAATTATACTTATAGTATAATTGGATAAATTCAATAAATAAACAAACCATTTTAGTCCTTTTAAGATTTTTTAAAGACCTTTTTTTTATTTTACTTTGATAAGTATACTAAACTTATTAACTTATATAATTTGCTCATAAAATTATACTAAAAGCTTTCAATACTATAGTAGTAATTTTTATTTCTTTTGATTCTTATCACGACCACCATGTGTAAGTATGTGTCCTTTTATTAAAAAATGTCTCATTCATTTATCAAGATATTATATATACTTAATCAAATTATTATTTCATTTATCTTTTCATTATTTTTTTTTTAAATGGGAAGCCTCCAAATCCACCCTTAGTGAAAGATAACTAATAAATATTCTATATCTTAATATTTCTTTTCATAAAAGTTTCAAAACTTTTATATTTTAATTCAATATAAGAGTTGACATTAATAAGCAGATTTTAAATATAATCATGCTTCATAGTCTCATTTTAAAACTTTTTATATTAATTCATAAATACTTATATAAATCTATTTCATCATAGACACTATTAATAATTTTTATTACCATGAACAAAATCATTTCCATCACCCAAATGGATCAAATGGCATTCATTTTGCTATTATAAAAGTTTTCATATTTACAAGATCATTGAATCACTCATGGCTTCCAAAGTAAATATATTTTTAAAATTTTCACTATATTTCAAAACTTCTAATAAAACCATAGATGATAAATAATTTATACAATCCATGAATTAGACCATATATATAACAAAAAAATTATCACAACATGATCAAAATTATGGCATCAATTTTGGCTTATGGCTATTCTAAGCTAATTATAATAATCCACATCATACTTATAAACCATGTAGATTTAGCTATTAAAGTTATCTCATTTATAGTGAAGGTTTTTAGTGAAAACTAACTTTCTCAAATGTTATCATGAGTTTTCAATACATATATTAATTGTCAAATGGCCAATTTCAAGATTATGACTATTAAAACCTCTAAACTTAATTTTAAAATTTTATGAGAATTTTTTTTCTTCAATATTGTTTAGTTTAAATATATATCTTTATTATTTATCACTTTTAATTGATCATAATATTTTCGGATATATAATAAATTTAAAATTTTATTCATAAGATTAATATGTTTATGTACAATAAAAGTTTAATTATTTTATGATCGATATATTTATATCTAGATTATCGTATCCATGCAAATCGTGAAACATAAATCTAAAGAATAACTAGAGGAAATTAATGGAAAGGCAAAAACTCTTCCATATTTTCAGGTTTGGGTCAATTTTGGTTTTGTAACTTCAGGTTTTTCAGTGACTCAGATCGTGTCAGCTTTTACCAACTCTTAGCATAAATTATGCACGCGATCTTGTGGTGAATACAGACAAATTATAATCTCATAAAAAGACTTGTGATTCAATGATTCAAAAACACCAGTCAGGAAAATGAATGTCAAAATGAGCCTCGGTCGTACAATACCGGAACAAAGGTACCAGAAAAGACCCATGTTCGATTCTATCAATAGTGGGCTTATCCATGCAATCAAACATCATATCCACATGAGTAACCATCCCAAGATACCTTTCAAAAGCTGTAACAATTCCCATATCGTGAACATCAATCTACTCTATACACGAGCATAATACATATCAACATACAATCTTTCCTCAACAATAACAACCCGAAACGCTGCGTGCTGCTTGGCTTGCGTTATATGATAATTCGATATTCGGGTTTTGGCCCATGGTTCAAGATCAAGGTAAATGAACTTGAAAAAGTTGGGGCATTTTTCAGGGGTTTGAGAGGACATTAAACGCCGCAGTTCCTCCTGCTGCTTGACATTGGTGGTGGCATAGCGACAAGTGAGATAGGAGCATTGGATAATTTTGTAAGTGCGGGCTTGTCGGGTTTCTTCGGTGAAGTTTTTTTGCGGGAAAAAGTGCCATGGCGCTGGCTCTAAATTGTGTCCCACAACAGGTTTCGTTTGCGAAGCAAAATGATTGTAGCTTTTTTTTTCTTGCTCTGTAGACTATGTCGACGACGACTCAGGTTTTATCTTTCGACTCCATCAAGTTCTGGGTTTCAGCCCAGCACTTTTTAAAGGCTTGGGTCCAAAATACATCTGTAATTCTTCCTTGGCAATGGCATGATGTGGTCAGTCCAGTAACGAGAGCTAGCAATCTTCTTGGTGCATGAATCTATGGCTATGAACCAATCCATGAATGGATTTGGAGAGGAATAAAAAAAAAAAACTGTTCCCAATTATTCAATCAACACAAGATGTTAATTTTATAGTAGTAGGCTACTAGCTAATTGGTGAAATAAAAAGTAGTATAATATACAGAGGAAACCAGGATGAACATTGTTTGATTAAGCCTGAGGAAAGAAAGAAAAGATTACATGATATTGACAATTACCAATGGAGAACCTTTATCTTGTAGAATGTGGAAAACCTTCAATCAAACCTTTATGAAACCTTGGCAACAAATTTAAGACGGTCCTATATTCTACATTACAGTACATGTCTGAAAATAATGCACGCTGTCAGAGGGAAAAAACATTCATGTTCATCCGTGGGGCATTATAAATTTACACCATGAGTAAAATCTTTGCAAAACATTACTGAAATGGATGGCTTAAACTGTAAATACCTTCCGAACTTTCTTCATCTTCCTACGACATATTGGACAAGTACCAGCATCTTCTGCAATCCTGCATAGATAAGTAGAGTTAAGAATCTAATTGACACTAATTTAAAAGCATCTGATAATCATAAGAATTCAATTATCGTTAATGAGCTAAGTGAATTGCTTACTTTAGAAATAAGGGTGCATAGTATGCAATGATATGGTGCTATATCTTACCTTGTTCCACAGGTAAAACAGGTGGCACAATGTCCACAAGGAAGAAAGAAACAATCTCTTGGTGCATCAAAGCAAATGACACAAAGATGCCGAGGATTGTTGCTTTCCCCCTCGTTCAAAGGCTTTCCTTGAACAGAAGTCACTGCCAGCCACTGTTCCAGATCCTCCTCATCATGGGATACAGATTCATAAGAAGAACCCCAGCTTGAGATATCATCATCCTTTGCTGGAAGTAATGGGGCTCGTTCTGATTCCATTTCTCCAGCATTGAGTCTTGGTCCATCTCTAGTCTGGAACATTTTACAGAATCTTAAGGCTAATAATATGAGGATGGTCATCACACCTACAGTCGCAAAAGAGGTAAACGTAAAGATGGATTAAATATTCTTTCTATGCAATAAGGGCTATGTAAGGGAAATGGGAAGACCTGATCCAACAAAATATGTAATCCATCGAGGTCCATAAGTTACTTTAACATACCAGATACTATTCGGAGTTTCCTGAAAGAACCAAAATTGTGTGAACTTCACATATTTGAAATGAAAAAACACTATGATACTGAGAACTGTCAGGACTAAAACAGCTGAAAAATGATAGTCCATGCTTAACAGAAACATCTTCAAAGTAGGAACAACTTCTCTGATTCATTTATAGAATGATTGCAACAAAAGAATTTATTTTACTAAATTCAAAGTAGAAAAGAAGAAACTCCAAGAAACAATAATTGGAATGACAAAAGGCTGTTAATTTCTATTAATATGTATCCTTGGTTGGGAGAGAAACTAATTATTAAGCTGAGAATACACTGAGGAAAGTAGGTGTGACCGTTAAGTGGGTCTGAAACAGCCAACAGCTGCAATAGCTTCACCAGGATCAGAGGTTCTTGTTGATTAATACATCAAATTGGCATTCGTGTTTTGACTTTTTTGAGTTTGAGCACCTAATGAAAATTATGTGCCATGAATGCCCTCTATTAAGTACCATGAATGCTCTCTATTAAGAGTTAAAAGGAGTGGAAACTTAACCTAATTGCTTGATTAGGATAGCATATCACCATTCAATCTAATCAGAACAAACTGAAGCCGATAAGGTTGATGGATGTTATTCTTTTACCTCACTTCGACCAGGTGAAGAGAGAACAGCTGCAGCTTCTCCTAGAAGATAAAGCTTTAAAGTACACAAATGGTCGCCCAAGGAGCATCTGTAATACGCTTGAGTTGTGTCATAGATGAGAGCATTGATTGAGAACTTCAACTGTATCTGAATCATATGCATTTATGAGCAGATCAGGCTTTCAGGATACATACAGCACGTGTCAAACAGAAAACAGAACAGTTTGGGAAATGTTAGCTGATGCAGCAATCAATATGAAAATTAATTAAAATTTGTGTTCCTTTTATTTGACTCAAAGAAGGATTTTCATAATTCAAATCAATCTGTCAAAAAAATCTAGTAGTTAGGTGAAGTAATTCAAATATTGAACATACCTAATTGTAGATTAATTGATGTAAGAGTGAGACAGTATTTGAGGAATTACCTCCACTTCCTCAGAGTTCAAATTTCCCACAGCAATATAATAATTAGAAGACTTCGGAATTTCCTGTTGGATCTTACCACTTCCTGCAACATTAAGTTCATGGCAGTATCGCATTAAGAGGCCTAATGCATTTTAAAGAAAATTCATAATCATACTTCATATAAATCTTACCATTTATAATATTCCATGACAAAGATGTTGTAGGATATGATGGATCCTCTACCCAATCAAGAAAGCTTTCTTTACCTGCATTATAGAAAATCACTCCAATGGATACATTTGGACAATGCATTACTGGTATCAAAGGTGTGTTTTGGTTATTTTTAAGTGAAATTTATTGAGAATTACCTATTAACATCATATATAGCATGTACAGGCCGTTTACGGAAACTTGTAGACAAATTTAGAGCTAGAACAGACGCAAGAAAGAAAAAATGATCTGAATGCCAAATGAAATTTTACAAGTGCTACCTACCCTGAACTTATACAAGCTCAAGCAAAACCATTCCATTGTTAATCTAGCCATATTATTTGGCGCACAATAGTTAAAAAGTTATGACTGTTATGAAGTATAAACCTAAACTTCGGTGCATAAACTATATATCCAGGTTGTTTCATTCAAACAACAAGAATAAACCAACGCAATCTTATGCTAAAGAAGTAGGTTTCACCTTGGGCAATGACAAGGGATAAGGGTGAGGAACCGGCGGATTTTATGGTGTATGAAATATTCACTTTAGACCCTTTGTTTAAGAAGAATAGCCACTCCTGCAAAAGAAAAGACTTTTGCTGTGGTGCATAATTGATGCAAATTTATGAAGTTGAAAGTATGAAAGCAGGAAAAAGAATTAAAGAATTGCTGCACTAAAAAAACACAGAGAAACCAACCATTTACCTTACGGAAATTTGCTGGTACAAATGCGTCATGTGTTTCAATCCAGGAGATTTCAACATCTGAGGGAGGTGGTCTTTCCAATCCATACAACATTAACCCAGGTTTTCTCTTATCCAATTCTTCGACCTGTTGTTAACAAACTAATCAACATTAGTCCACAGAAATGACAAAAGCTGAAGCAACAAAGAGAAAGAATGAGTTGGCATTTGCAGCAATATTCACCTGAATAGACTGAACAAAGACAGAGTTAGGCTGCATAAGGCGTGAGCAATTCGGACCCAATTGTAAAGTCACAGATCCATAATAACCCAGAATCAGAGTCATGGATGCTGCTGGGACAGAAATATTGGCAACAAAAAAGCCAAAAAGGAAAAAAGATTTAAAGTCTGTAATTTTGGTTTTTGAGAGAAGGGAATTGAAGGGTTTAAGTAAAATGGTAGAACATTTTTATTATAAACTAGAATAAATAAGAAAAGAAATAGAGAGAGAAACTAACCAAAACTCCAAAATGTGATAAGCACAATAACACAAGACCAAATATCATCCCTCATATCAATTCTTGCCGCAGCGGATATCGATATATTTAGATGATAAGATACCCCAGAAGATTGTTGATGTTGCTGCTGCTCTTGGTGTTGATGGTGGTGGTGCTGCAAGTTTTCATCATTTCTATGGCCATTATTTTCCTCCTCTTCTCCTTCATAGACTCCTGAGCTAGATGAAGAAGAAGATGGAAGATTTGTGACTATAAAAGAAGAAGAAGAAGATGGTGCAGGTGCGTGTTGGCTATGTTCTGGTGAATGTTCCATGTTAGGGAAAAAAGGTTCAAACTTTGAAGCAGGGTATGAAACTGAGGAGTAGTAAAGATGAAGAAATAAAGTTAACAAAAAAGGGTTTTCCTTTTGTTGTTTTCCCTTTCTATCTCTCTCTCTCTCTTTATTTTAATCTTTTTGAGACTCTTAAGGATTGAGGAATTTGAAGGAGCAGACATTGATGATTGAGAGATAGGGGCGTGTGTTACCAAGCAGTCAATACCTTGCGCTTATTTCATGTTTCATGGGACATAGGAATGTTAGTTGATGAGTGACAGATGGTTAGTTGAAAGCATAACCATTGGAGTTGTGCTATTCACCAATAGATGTTGTCAAAAGTCTTTTACCTGTTTTGGAATCATTGGGTTCCAAAATTTGTGTGGGGGGGTTCTGTCTAGTCATCGTGTGGCAAATTATGGATTGGAGTAGGAGAATAGTTTTGGCTGCATTTTCAAACCATGAACCGAAGACTTTTCATAATTTATTAAAAGGATTATTTTTATCGACGTATGTTGATATGAATGATTATGAAATTTAATTTTTTTAAGTAAAATTTTGATTTTGAATCTTGTGAACGAAAAAAACAGATATTATAAGAATTTATTTTTTTTGTGAAGTTTGATTTGATTTGATTTTGAATTAATTGAAGTTTAAAGTGATTACTAAATATCAAAAAATTCCAGACAAAAAAATAAAAAAATTGCTTTCAACTAAAGCTAAACAAGATTAATTTATTAAAAACGAAACTACTTTCAACTAAAGCTAAAGAAGGATTTCTTCTGGAAATAAAAAATCTATTAACAAGATTTATTTCAATGAGGGTCATTAAAGTTTACTTTTAACCCTTTACATTGTGATTTTTGGTCAATGGGTTTTTTTTTTTTTTTCTTTAAGCACTTGATTTTGACCTTGAATTTCCTTTTTTCTTGGGGAATAAAATATGATGAATGATATACTTCAATCATAGATAAACTTAACCATGCAATCATACTTAGTAAGAAATTTTAATTGAAGACTTTTCATAATTAAGGTTTTACAAGCCAGCATGATTGCTATCAAAGCAACGCCATATCATTGTTATCAAAGATATTTCACGGTTGACGGAGATTGGATTTGGTCCAAAATCACACAATATAAAAGCTCAAAGGACTTGAGAATTCCAGGGGGCCCAAATTCCAATTAAACCCCACAAGTTGTGGCGTCTTCTTTACTTTCATAGAACCACGTGCGCTTGGCAGGTAAGGAAGGGCTCAAGAATTGCAATGGCAGCATATAACAAAAGAAATCAGAGACAAATATGGCTTACAATTATTTACTAATTTAATTTGCCATTGATTTCTAGACTTTCATTCAAAGGCTCAAAGAGATTTCTTCACTAGCCAAATTATTTGATACAGAAAAAAGAAAATATGCTCCAGGTATACTCATGGTCTATCCTGCACTGTTCAAATTGGATCATCAAAAAGAGAACTTAATAACAACTGTGGCTGCCCGTTATATTGAGGGCGGATAACTTGGTCTACTGTCCTGGATGATCTTGGCAGATCCCGTTGACATTCTTGAATAGAGAATGTGGAAACTAATTTAGTTGAAGCAAGAGAAGCATGGAACTCTTCATGGCCCAGTGGCTTGGTGAAACTCAACTGATCATCTCTTCTTTGGAAGCGGCCTGTGCAATGCAGCTTCCTTCTTTGCACCTCATCTTTAACTCTCTGGAATGTGAAAAATAAAAATAGAAAGGAGGTAAGGCAAAGACCACTTTTGCGAAAGAAGCATTCATGATGAAATAATTAAAAATGATGCAAATAAAAATGACAACGTCTCTATGCTCAGGGAGCCAACTTCTTACGAAAAACACATTAAAAGTATCATGTTGGTCGAGAGTAATAGTCATGTCCTGACATGTATGTCTTTATGCAAGAGAACGTCGAAGACAGAGAAGAAATTTGACCTTTCATGAATCATACAACTTAAAAGATTAAGCAACACTTCACATAAACCATTTTGGAAAGCAATATCAATTCATATCTCTTCGAATGAACAAATCATCACCTGATGTTAACACTCGGTGCACAAAAAACAAAGGGGAGAATAAAAAACAAAACAAATTCTAGTTCGGCTGTTGTCAGTCAATTCACAATCAAACACACAAAGAACTAACTAGCGTTCCTAACAATGACTGTTTTCAAAGTCTCTTTCTAGTTCGCAAAGGAAAGGACTTAAAAGTTACAAATCCCACTTTTTTTATACCAAAACCATGAGTATACAGAACAATGATATACAACACATGCCAAACATTCATCCACACATGAAGGTTACTAAGGATAACATTGTCATAATAAGTATGAAAACTCAACTGGAAAATAAGATAGACAAAAATCAGCTTTCAGCACTTTAACCATGACAAGAAACCTGTGATTCCAATCCAAGTATAAATCTTTGATAAAGATTAGCAGCATCACCGGCAATATAATCCAAGTTGAGTCTACCCAAAATGGGCATTCTAAACATTTAACCCCACTTCCTCCAGAGAGACCCACTATATTCACTACCTTCATGATATTGCTAAGCATGTACTCTCGCTACACATTTGGCACTTGCAGTCAATGTACATTTCAAAATGATTCATTACAAAAAAAAAGTATCAGTCCCCAATTGAAGTCACAAAAATTCACATTTGATCTAATTCCAATATTATAAAAAATGCCATTTGCCAACATTAACAATATAAATTCCCTCATAAAAATCATCCCAAATCACTCTAAAATTCACATTTTTTCTCATAAAAATGCAATTTTCCCAACATTATCCAACTATGTTCCAGAAATTATGAAGCAACGAACCTGTAACAATCTCAAGTCGAACCTAGGGAGACCAATCTGAGCAACAGTAAGTGAACCAAAGAAGTTCCCCAACAAAGCAGCATCAGGAACGACCAAGCCATGAACCAACCCACCAACAAACCCACCTAAAAAACTATCTCCAGCACCCGTTGGATCAATCTGGTTAGCCCCAAAAGGCCCAGCTTTTATTTCCCCGTCTTTCCAGTAAACTTGACAACCATCTTTCCCACGGGTTACCACCACACAACACCATTGCCTCACTTCCTCAACATCCATGAACAATGCCTCTTCCGAAGACGCCTTTATGAACTTGAGCCGCGGTAACAAATGGTAAACCCCACTCTCTTTTAACCCCACGAGTTTTACGGTTCCGTTTGTCTCAAAAACACGGATTAAAGCTTGGATATCAACAAAAACGGCATCGCAGATTTCAACCATTTTTTCCAGCGTTTCTGGTAATATCTCCCCGCCAACCCCAACCGCCATTCCAAAATCAAACCTTTTATCGGGTAGATCCGATGGGTATATCGGGTCGCATGCTTCGACCCGTTTCAAGACCCGATCCTGATGAGCATTCTCGCTGTCGCCCAGATCGAAATAGGCGTGGAAAACGGTGGTTTTGGAAGCGGGGACCACGATGGGATTGTAAGGATGTGGGTATTTGAAATCAAGCCCAACTTTTGAGGTTAAATCAAAAGAAACGGAGAGACCAGAAAACACGTTGGAAATGAAAGAGGCGGCCCCACCGAGGGTTTTGGCAACGACGGCGCAGCCTTGAAGGAGAACATCGTGGCAGTAGTTACCAACAATGAGAACGCTTGGAATTGGGTTGCTTTTGCTTTGAGGGGCGGTGGTTACCATGGTTAAGAAGGGAAAAATGAATGAATTTTCTTTTGCCAGGTTCTGGGGTCATGGAAATGTAAAAAAAAAAAAAACCAACGGGAAACCTTTAAGAAATGAGACAATCCATTGAAAACAGAAGGAAAAGGAGAGGAAAAAGAGAGAAGGGCATAACAAATTTGTCTAGGTAGTCATGGAACACCTGATTCATGAATGTACAAAATGTGGCAGGTGCATTGGTCAGTCCAAAGGGCATAACAAGAAATTCAAATGCACCATACCGTGTTACACAAGTGGTCTTTGGCTCATCTCCCTCAACGATTCTGACCTGATGGTAGCTAGATCTCAAATCCAATTTAGAGAAGTACTTGGTCCAGCTCAATTGATCAAACAAGTCTGCTATAAGAGGGATAGGATATTTATTCTTTACGGTCCTGTAGTCAACACATAATCGTAAACTCCCATCATGCTTCTTCTGAAATAGCACTGGCACTCCGAAAGAAGCCTTTGATGGTCTGATGAACCCGACTTGTAGAAGCTCATCTAACTGTTTTCTTAGTTCGGCCAATTCTGGCGAGGCCATGCAGTAAGGGGCTCTAGCAGGGGGTTTCGCTCCTAGGAGGAGCTCAATTTCATGGTCCACTGCTCGTCGAGGGGGTAAAACCTTAGGCAACATCTCTGGCATCACTTCTTCAAATTTTTTCCAATACTTTTTTCATGCCATTGGGTATTGGTTTTACTTTCGACCCTTCTTTGTAGATCGGCATAGCCACAAAGGAGGGTTCTCTTCTCTTTACCCTTTTCTTGAACTGTAAAGCTGAAATCATTTTCTTCCCACTCTTTGATAAGATATTGGCTGGCACCACACATGGGTGTTCTCCTAAGAACAACAAGCAGCTAGCGGCGGGGATAGGGATCACCTGAGCCAACATCATGAAGTCCAATCTAAGAACGACATCAAAGTCATCTATGGGGGAAACTGTAAAGTCTACATTCCCTTCTCATGGCTCCAATTTGGTTGTCACACTCTTAGAGCTTCCACTGATCGCAAAGGCTGGCGAATTGACCACTTTCATTCGTCCACAGTCTTTGCTAACCTGGAAACCACACATTTTTACTTCTTCTGGTGTGATGAAAGTATCAGTTGCACCCGTATCCACTATGGCCTTGGTGGCCTTCTCATTGATCATTAAGTTCACATACATCAAACATCTACTCTGCTTTTTCTTTAAAGTGTTCAGTTGGGTATGGAGGGCATTGAGAAATCTTATTGAACCCATCCTGACTGGCTCTTTTTCAATTTCTTCAACGCTCTCTGACACTTTTGCTGACTCTTGAGACGAGGTTCTTAAGGCATTAAGGGCTCCTCTGTGTGGGCATTCGACCACCTGATGCAACCCCTTGCAAAGAAAGCAAGCCAGCGATTGCCTAGGCTTAAAGATCACTGCGTTGTTTGCTTTAGGTTGGGTGCTATCTCGACCAAAAGATCTCCTGTCTGATCCCTCACCGAAGGGTCGGTCCAACCTAGTCATCTTTTCTTCACTCCCAAGTTGAATCTACTGCCAGCTGATGGAGGATTTTTCCATTTTGAGGAGCCATCATTATAATCGTGGAGACGTTCAGCTGCAGCCATGGCCGTGGCCACGTCTTGCACTTTTTGTCTTTGTAGTTCTGTCCTGGCCCAAGACTTGAGGCCCTCAAGAAAATAGAACATCTTGTCCTTTTCGGGCATGTCTCAAATATCCAACATCAAGGTAGAAAAGCTCCTTACAAACTCTCGCACTGTTCCTGTTTACACCAATTCTCGGAGTCTCCTTCGAGCCATATACTTCACGTTCTCGAGGAAAAACTGGTTTTTCAATTCTTGCTTCAGGTCCATCCAAGTCTTAATCAGGCACTCGTCATTGACAAACTTGGAGCGTCACCATAGCTTGGCATCCCCTGTGAGGTACATCGACGTCATTGCTACCTTGTCTTCCTCTGAATTCGTGTGCACAGCTCAGAAGTACTGCTCCATGTCAAACAAGAAATTTTTAAGTTCCTTAGCATCCCTTGCCCCCTCATAACGTCGAGGCTCAGGTACCTTGGGCCTTTTTCCCCTTTCCATCGAGCTCGAACCCGATCTGGCCACAGTCATTTGTAAGATGCTCATCTGTGCTCTGAGCTCCTCAAACTCCTTTTGGAGAATATTCAAGGCATCTCTAGCCTCCTCGCTCACGTTGTGGAGAGTATCGGACAACTCCCGCTGGGTTGTCTCGATCTCCCTCACTCGGTCTTTAGTCGTCATGTGAGTTTTCATTGCGGTCACCGCGGCCTCAAGTTCCTCAATTCTTTGTTGATGATTGGGTCCACCACTTGTGGCCATCTCATCCATTTCTAGCACTTCTCAACCGTGCTCTGATACCATGTGTCACGGACTATACTTTCTCTGAACAAACAATAGACCGTGCGGCACTTAAATGGACGCTCCCACCCAAGTCAGCCTTCAATAGATCGATATCTGAACAAATAACCATAAGCCATGGTTAGTCCCAAGCATTCACAATAAGACACAATATATCAAGATCAATCTCAAGCACACACACAACAAGGCACATCCACATCGAGAAAAAGAAAAACACATCGAGGCAACATTCAGGATATTCAATCAGGGTAAATTTTATTATAATCGGAATCATACATCGGGACTTCCCACCATCACCAGGGCTAGGGGGGCAGCCCTTGGTGGATGGCCTAGACTCGCATAGCACCCGGTGAGACAGCCCAACACTATGCTGCCGGCTCACCCCCCTAAAGAGCCTTAAAGATTTTAGAGCTATGCTACCAGTAACCATTACAATGTTTGAAATGGGGACACTTTTCCTAGCACAAGGGATCTACCCAACGATGGCCCTATACATGGGTGGCTCATGACAACTTAAGTCCCAGTCATGGTCCTATACAAGGTTGGCTCATGACACCTGGCTTGTTAACGGGTAGTTCTCATAGAACGTTGTTTAATTTTATAGGAAGTTTATCTGTTTATGGTGCTATTTGTAAATATTTAAACCTCCTTTTTGTGTTTGGAGGGACAAGGGAGTGTTGGGAAGAAAGTTACATTGATGGCTCTGATGCTAGGCTAGTAGCTGAACAGCAAATTTGGGCAGCCACAACTGATGAAATATCTTCCAGATGGCCAGGCGTTCAACGCAATCAATGGTTCGAGTTTTACTTGGAAGCAGTTATGGCCAACTCTTGGAAAGAAATTTGAGTTACAGTGCCTGATGGAAACATGTTTTTGGAGGATTTTGGGTTTACAACAGCCATGCTGGACAAGAAACAAGCATGGGAACAAATTGTGATGAAGGAAAATCTGCTTCAGACAAAGATGGAAGATTTAGCCAATTGGCAATTCCTGGACATCTTGTTTCGCTGTCCTGTAAAACTGCTGGGTTCCCGAGCTAAAGTTGACAAGCTTGGTTTTACAATGAGATATAAGACACTCGATTCGATCTTGTATTGGATTGATTTTACGAGAGATGAGAAGTTCATTCCCTAGACAATTCGTCCTCTTTTTTCTTGTTTCCTCATAGCTTTGTTGGTTTCATTTGGAGCAAATCAATAGAGACAAGAACCCCAAATTGGCTCTTGTCTTCACAACTTTCGCCCTTTTTCTTGTTTTCAAAGCTTAACCATCGAAACAAGTATGATCTGCAAAGAGGGAGCAGCAATGGCCCCTTTCATCTATTGTCTAAACTTACTGCATTTGATATTATCAGCTAGACAGCGCTAAGAAAGTGAAAAGGGAATTCCATATTTGAACAATTTTCAGTGTATGATTCCAAAGTTTAACAGTAATCAAGATGGTCAGATACAATAATGAATGGTAAGTTTACAACATTCACCATCGAAACTAACTCGTGTTGCTACTGCTACATTAACAATACAAAGGTGTATTTGATTTGTGTCTCCTATCCTATCGATGTTGTACTGATCGATCCTAAAGAATTGTTTCAACTAGGTCAATGAGATGGCATTAAAGAATGTTGAGAAGGATATGTGCATCTTGATGAGGTACTGGCTCTTACAGAAATTGTTTGTGCTCAAACTGGGATGGTGACCACCTGTCCAATGCTGATGGAGAGAGCTTTTGCAGCAGTCTATAAATTCATCATTCATCTTTTCTGGAAGTTGAGAAATTTCAACGAGAAAGCAAAGATACTAAAAAAAAAGAGACAAAAGCCGATTAACACTGCTGCTGAAACCCCCATCATCCCAGGATCAATGCCGAAAACAGTGTTTATATACTCTTTCACAGTGCCTTGAAACGTCGGTTCAACAATCATGGTTTCCACATCACCAAGCTGAGAGCTGATAATACCCTTTAAAGTCCATGCAACAGGGCAGATGTAGTAGAACCAAATCCACCATCCTGGAATTCTCTGCAGTCCAAAGGAAAAAGGAAAACGTTATGTTTGTTAGTTTGGAAATGACTAGAGCAGTGCTCAAGCTATGGGTGGATTCCAAATACTCTCAACACCACATTTAAGGTTCAAGAACTACATTGAACAATTCGCAAGGGTTATGCGTAACATTAACCCTATTATTAACTTCATTTTTAGAGGAGATCAGGAGAATATGCAGAGAGCATTATACTACTTACCGGCTTTGGTATAAGAAAACCTGAGAGGAGATTCCATAAAGAGTAGAAGGCAGAAGAGACGACGGCTGCCATTTGCTGAGTAGGTGTGAGACCAACAGCCATTAAACCATAAAAGGTATAGTAGGTGAAGGTGAGGAACATGAAGACAAGATAGAGGAAAAATTTTCCTGCATAATAAGAGAGATTCTTATAAGCAAGTTGCATTATAGAAAGTTGGGGAAGGCAATCAGAAAAGCTCCATAAACAAAAAGGCATTGCTAAAGGGAAATAGAGAATCTTACTAGCTGTCCTTTCGAAATTGATCATGAAATATGTGATGGCCCCAAACAGAATTGCCTGAACAGCAATGTATGGAACCTCCACGAGACCCTGTTCAAAAAAGAATGGAAATATTTATTATTACTTATTTGTTCAGAATAAATTGCACTGAACCAAATTTCTTTCAGGAACACGCCAATTACCTGGGCTGCTGCATAAGGAGTAGGAGCATACATTCCAGCTGCTCTTTCTCTATAGAATACTGTTCTCTCAATGGATACAATTGGCTGTACTGAGGAAGCATTATTTACCCCAAGAAATAGGCATGAGGCATAAAGGGCACCCATAACCATAAACAAACCTTCAGTTGTATGCCTGCAGAAACAATATATACGCCGAATGGTTTAGTAGGTTTGTAAAAGAATGGCAGAAGAAAAATGACATTATAAACATACAATCTTTCTCTTCAAATACGATGTTTATAGCATGTTTACATGAATAGCTGAATCTTGAATATTATGAAATCAGAAGGTGGAAAGAAATATACAATGACAAAATAAAGCGCAAAAGAAGAAACACAATTATGATGACAAAAATGGAGGTCCAAATATGAAAAATGAAATTGTCCATTTTCTATGTATTTGGAGTTTAGCACAGAAACATGAAATAACCGAGATTACTTACCTTTGGGAACCAACATCCCAGAACACAGAGCCAAATATTAGTGCGCACACAATTGTAAAGACCAATCTCACCAAGTTGTAACGTGGACTTCTCCAATACACAAGGTTTTGCTTTCTCAGGCAAATCAGAAACTGAGCCAGTTGGTTTTGTGCATACGTGGAAGGAAACTTTAAAGGTTGTGAACCAGGGGGTGGAACACTCAAACGCATAATGGAATCTTCCACTTCCCTGTAACGAGGATATCAAACTATTTACTTATGTATGTCAAAGTAAGTCCAAATCCAATATCCCAAATGTACCAAGGAAGGTTGATGTGAAAAAAAAAAGTATATAAAGTATTGGTCTCATCTTGCTTGGATTAGTGCATGACATCACAATAATTACCTATACTGCGCAGAATTTCTGTAAATATCTCCAAAGTCTCTACCAATTCTCTGCTCTACTGCAGGGCTAGTAACCTCGAGCATCCACGTTGCCGGGTTGTGTCCATCAGGAATTGATGGAATTCCACTTATACCCTGTAAAAGAGAACGAATATGAAGACAAACCTCTCATACATAATCACCATTCTGATCATTAGTATTTTAAATTGTGAATACGCTGAAATATTGGTAGATGTCTACATATAAGTCCAAAGGAATGTGAATGAATAGATTTTGCTTGGGGGATTGCTTACATTCAAATGGAACTTTCAGAAATCAGAATATAAAACTTCAGAGTTAGAAAATAAAGCTTAACATTGGTGTCAAAGTTGAATACTAATTCCTCTCTAAGTGTCCCAGATAGTCTGGAAATGCCAAATAATAATAATAATAATAATAATAATAATAATAATAAATATAAGTCACCTGGAAATAGTCTATCAACATTTGCGAGTTCACTCCAAGCTTCCCTCCATATATAAGTTGACCTCCTCGTTTCATAAGCAGCAGCTGGTTATGAAAATTTATAGGCAAATTCAGATGAAAAGACGTATATTAGGATCTTATACTAGCTTTGAGATATGAAGACTATTAATCAGACTCACCTCATCGAATGATTCAAATATTTCGATACTGGGTTGATGAATAGTGCACACCACAGTTCTTCCAGTATCAACAGTATTACGAACAGTTCTCATCACAATTGCTGCTGCCCGTGCATCAAGTCCAGATGTGGGCTCATCCATGAAAATAATGGAAGGATTTGCAACAAGCTCCACTGCAATAGTTAAACGTTTTCTCTGCTCTGTTGATAAGCCACTGCTACCTGGTAAACCAACTAAAACATTCCTTAGTGTATCAAGCTCTACTAAACGCATCACTTCTTCAACAAACTCCTGTAGGGAAGTGCACAAAAAGAATATGAGAAATGCAGTGAAAGCAACTAGATTAAAACAAATATAAATACATATTGAGTTATGCAGCTCACATGTCTCTGGGTTTTGCTAATTTCTTTCGGAAGGCGAAGACTGGACGAAAACCAGAGAGACTCCTCAACCGTCACTTGAGGAGAATGTATATCATTTTGCTCAACATATCCTGAAATTCTGGCAAATGTCTTCTGTTCCTTTGGGTACCCTGATATCATAATATCACCTTCAATGTATCCGCCAGTTTTCCTTCCAGAAAGCACATCCATCAAGGTAGTCTTTCCTGCTCCACTTGACCCGACTAAGGCCGTAAGAACACCTGGTGAGAATACACCACTTACATTTGACAAGAGCTGCAATCTCCTTTCAGGTATGCCTTGTGCAATCATTTCCTGAGATATTCGATGAAAAAAAAAGAGGGAAATGGAAAACGAGGTTTCACTTTAGTTGAAGATATACGGAACTCCAATAACAAAAACCACGAGACAACCATACCTTAGGCACATCGACATAGTAATTGACATTGTGAAAAGTCATTGCTAATGGTAGAAACGGAAGAATCATTCCCTTCCTCTTACTGCCTCCGTTAGCAGATGGAACACCTGATTCCAACTCCTGGCTTTCAACTGCATAGATAAGTGAAAGTTGGAAGTAACTATCAGAACCGTTCAAAAAGAGGCACAGAAGCCCTATGCATTGCCAACTAAATTGATGTTGCATATACCAAAGATGACTAACCATTCTTCACAACAGAATTTTCTTCTGTTTCATCAGCTGGAAAAATTGCCTGGCCTTTTCTGAGAGCTGTCGTGAAGAAAAAATATAAGAGAAACATTTCTGTGAGTATTTAGATAGATACTTAAAGTGTTGAATAACAAAGCAGGGAATGAGTTTGATAAGTAGAGGGATAACCCACGATTTAGGTAAGCTAGGGCGAGTGTCACGATGATGTTGAAAAGTACAGAATAAAGTAATAACACACCAACTCCAAGCCAATACCAATATCCAGCAGAAGGTAAACCATGTGATTGAAGAATATTGTATCCGACTGTATTGTTTCCAATAGCAGATGCCTGCAAGATGTCTTAACAATTACATGTCTACATATAAATAAATATCAATGAACGGAAAATTGATGATAGCACGTCTATTAATGCACCTTTTTCCACCTTGTGGCAGTGAATTCATTAGCAGAAATTGCTCTTTGTCCATACTGTAGTGGTGACAACCAAGAAGCCCAAACCCACCATGGTTTAATCTTGTCTGAAAGAAGACTAAAAAATCAATCAACCAACAATATATCTTATCTTCTATTCCTAAGTAAAATTTTACACAGCATACCTTTTGGTATAAGAAATCCACCTAACAAAAGTACAATTAAAAGTGCAAATGACCCAAATGTATTTGCAATGACCGTATCTCTTGCAATAGCAGCCAACATTCGGAATAGACCAATTGCCATTTGGTGTATTGCAAATTTTAAGAACATGAAGCGGAAAAACCTGAATCCAAAAACAAGAACTAATTAGAAGAAATTACTATGAAAAGGAGCATCGTCCCTGAGAAAATAAATGAAATAGGAGATACCTCCCAGCAGCAGGGGCAAAACCAACAGTGTAGTATACAACACAAGACCATACTACAGACTCAACAATAGAGTAAGGTACACGTAGAATCCAACTGACCACAGACCAGATCCATGCAGGAAGAAACAGATTATCTCGCTGTTTGTAAAAGACTGGGAGTCGAAATATCAGAAGAGATAGCTCAGAAAATCCATTAAACATCACATGCACCAGCCCAAAGAAAAGGCAAGAGATGTAGAGGTTGCCATTAATCTCATCTACCGGATGTAGTCTTGTTCGTAAAAAAATTGTGCTCGTGACAAATCCGACAAATGCAACCTTAAACATGTGTAACATATAGATTTCAAAAGTGAAAAACCATGAGAAGAACTTCAAAAAAAAAAAATAATGAAAAAAAAAAAAAAACTACATAGTACTAAGATCATTTGTAATATCAGTAAAGCTAAGAAAATATGAAAAAGGTAAAAAACCTCCCAGATAGATAGATACTCAGTCAATGCTAAGCTTTTTATTATAGAATGAATAAAGCAGAAGTAATAGACTAACGGTTCTCACTTCATATCTCATCAAATCATAGACGTTTAAGAATATCAGTATACACAATGTGGCGGTAAACATAACAAGTTCAGAAGTGGCAAGCCAAAACATACCTGGCAGGTCCTGAAAATGTAAAGAAAACTATGCCTGCTGATTAGTAGTTTTTCTCGTGCAAAGCACGTTCTTAAAAGTTCCCATTTTGATGCAGCATATCTTGTTTTGGACAAAGCTGAAGGATGACTCTGGGATTTATCATATGGAACACTAAGTGTTGACTCCAGAGACCTCCCAAATCTAGAATTTTTAAATGCATTGGCCATTTCTGAAACAGGAATGAACACATATGGCTTTGAAGGATCAGCCCAGTATTGAGCTTGATCCTTTTTAGAGGTGACCTGGCAATTGCAACTAGTTAGGCAAGTACCTAAAGAAGATCTAATTAACCATAGAAGTTGCAGTGAGGAAAATAAATACCTCTTGAAGAAAATCTGCAACTCCCTTGCGGGGTGGCAGTTTGAATCCTAATGACTCGAAGAATTCCAAAACTTCTTCTCGAGGGCCTTGATACACCATATTTCCCTCTGATAATACCACTAGATCATCAAATAGCTCAAATGTCTCAGGTGCAGGCTGTAGTAGAGCCATGAGTACGGTTCCTTCCATTAGATGAACAAAATTTCGCACGCATTTTACAATTTGGTACGTCGTAGAGCTATCAAGACCAGTGGATATTTCATCCATAAAAAGAGTTTTTCTCGGCCCAACAATCATCTCTCCTGCACGAGGATAGTGAAGAGAGTTAAAATTTGACGGAGAGTATCACAAAATAGAGAATGGATCACAAAAACCATTCAGAATGTAACTCTAAGTTAAAGTTCCTCAATCATTTTTTTCTAGAATGAATTCATATTGCATTAAAAAAATTCTCATCTTCCCAAGGACATTAATAAGATTAGAAACATAAAGTTCTAGCTGCAGACTTGGACAATATAAGTTGTTAGAATCTGACAGAATTCACTCATGGGGGGATAGTACCCAAAGAGAGAGACCTGTAGTAACTCTTTTTCTTTGGCCACCGGAGACACCCCTGAGCATGTCATTCCCAACCACGGTGTCTGAACATACATCAAGACCAAGCACTTTTAAGACATAATCAGTCGAAATACTATGTTTACCGGCAACAGATGATGCCTGTGCAAAATCAAAGAAGTAAAAGTCTTAAAGCTGGAAATGAGTAGACACTGAAGAACAATGAACCGGTAGTTAATATAAATTTTTTAAAAAGGTGACCTTCATAAAAGCATCAATCTCTGGGACTGGACGTATCTTCCTTTCCTTTTCTAAATGGGTTAAATCGTTCATATACTCTGCAAGTAACATATAGGAAGAACAGGAAAAAAGTAGTTAATTAAGCAGAAGCTTGAAGCCAAAACATAGTTATCATATTTAATATAAAAGTATTATTACAAAAAATATTACTTTATCACATTGTTAGCAAAACCATGATGTTCAAAGTGTAACGTTAAAGTGAATTATAAGTACAACTAATATGTCCAGATATGGGAACAAACAAACCTGCCAAGCCCTCACTTGCACCTTGACACCTAGCAGCAAAATCCAAAGTCTCTCGTACAGTAAGCTCTGGAATGTGATTATCTGTTTGGCTAATGTATGCAGAAGTCCTTTTAACATAGAACTCATCAAGTTTTGTGCCGTTGTATGTAATATCACCGCTTGTCTGCAAAAATAAAAAGAAACATTTTGTATTAGCAAGAAATTAGAGCTATTTTTTGTAAACTTAAGACTGCCAGGCCATATTTATTAATTGTATGGTTGAAATGGCTTGTTTTTTTCAACAGTCAACTATTTTCGCTGTTGCTTTAAAATTTGACCCTTTGGGCGGTATAAGAAAGCTTTGGCTAACCTTTGCAATATATATTACCTGAGAAAATATTATATAAAATAATTATATGGCGTGAAACATTCTATTCAAATTACATCATGTAATTATAATATTAAAAAAATTAATTAATTATTATATATTATATATAATAATTAAATAATAAATATTTATTTTAATAAATAAATAAATTAATTTTAATAATGCGATTATGTAAGACGATTTGAATACAATAAATATACGTTGATGTGCTCCATCTGTTTCACTTGTACATGAGGGAAACAAAACATATAGGTTATAGCCGGAAACAATTGCTTTGAACATTGACGGTTGAGTTTTCGGAATAAAAACTTGTCATGGGTTGTTCACGAATCACATATGGAGAAAAGCAATTTGAGAGTGACACTGAGTGATTCATGATATTGACAGTAACAAGCATGCAAAGGAGTTAAATCATGTGATTTGCTCAAAAAGCAGAAATGCTGAAAGCAACAATATGTCTAACCTTCAAAGTCTTGTTGTCAAGTTTCCCAGCAAGAGCTAAAAGCAAGGTGGATTTGCCCGATCCTGGTGGTCCTAAGAGCAAGGTCATCCTGAAAGGAGCAAATTGATATGAAAAAAAAAAAATACCAAGTTCGACATTAAATGATTGACAAAAGACATGCATGTCGTGAATCACACCCAAAAAAAGTTACGAACATCTCCAATAAACTGTGATTTCAGTTCCTTTTTTCTAATGTTAATTTAAAATTGCGCCCATTTCAACGATCTAATAGTAGTAATTACCTCCCCGGTTTAACAACACCACTGACGTTTTTCAAGATGTTTAACTTGAATTTATTGGGACTTAAAATCCTCAAACTTCTTGCGACGTTCTGTACTCAAATTCAATAGAAATGAGTCAGAGATTAAACCAAAGGGAAAAAAAAAAGATACGTATAAGATACTGAACCTCAAAGAAGTCACGGGCAACGTTGATTAAAGTGGGTAAAGCTCTTGAGGCGATTTGAGCATCGACCTCAACGTTTATGTTCTGGAACCTTACTTCAATCTTTGCCACATCCAATCCAACTCTGTCATAATTCACACACAATAGGAAAATAGAGCTTAGAAGTAATCAAAATTTGCGCATTAGAACATATTTTATCCACAAAATATTCAAATTCACCTGCAAATTTCAACTCATCAATTCTCAACGGATTTAATAAACAGTAAATATAAAATAATAGTATAAAAATATTAAGTTAAGTTTAAATCTCATAACTCTGAGAGTAAAAAAAAAAAATCATATCAAGTTGTAAATTTAAATCTTCTTACGCTACTTGAAAGAGAAAAAAATTAAATAAGTCTAAAAAATAATTGAATATAAAAATAAAATCGCATGAAACGTGTTACTACCTATCAAGGCGATCTTTGATAGCGGAGAGAAGCTTATAATTATCCTGATCGTCGGTAGCCAACGCTTTCTTCACAACCAGTTCTCTTCTAGTTCGATCAAGCCTCTTCACATCAATCGTCTCCGCCGCTACTCCATTCTCTCCTCCTCCTTCGGATGGACTCCTTCTCAAAATGGCGAAACGTCCTTGCCTCACTGACGGCAACCGCGATATCGCTTCCCACACAAGCTCTTCCTCATCTTTCTTAACGGACTCCGCATTTGACGGTCCGTGAAACGACTCCACATTTCCCGTCTCTAAATCAAACTCAAAATATTCGCTTCCATTCGAGGCCGCCATGACCTCTCTCTCTCTGATTTTCCTCTTTAAAAATATTTTTCAATAGAAATAAAAAGTCGAATGAAAATATACGAAAGTGGTGAAGTTTTTATAGAGGAAGAGTTTGAGTTCCAAAGGAAATAAGATACGACCGAAAATTTGAAGATACGTCTGAAAAACCAGAATTGCCCTCAGTTGAGAGGGGTAAAAGTGAGATTTCGTGCCCACTAGAACCATGCAAGTCTGTTACTGCTTGTTAGAAAATTTTTTTCTGCCCTATTCTTACGATCACATGCATAAATAAGCGCTGCAATTGACAACATGTTCAAATCTTTTTTCTCAACTATATTTTTCCTTTTTTTCTTTGTTTTCGGCACAAGAAATAGTATCGGTTTTAAGGAAAAAATTTTAAACTTGGATATTTTAAATACTTCAAAATCCTTCCATGCAATTTTCTCTTTTGAAATTTCTACTAATATATATAGAGTCGAAGATAAAAAATTAATATATATAAATATATAAATAGGCGAAAATAAAATTTGATAAGAAATAGGTAAATAGTAATTTTAATTAAAAAAAAGAGAGGTCAAAGAAATAATTAAGTGAAATTACTCTTTAAGGAAAGTACAAAATTTTTGAATGGTTCTGTTTCATAAGGAAAGTAAAAAATTTTTTAAAGGGTCTAACATTTACTTGCCTTTTCAGATTCGCCCATTACATACATACATACATATATATATATATATATATAAAATAAAGAAAAAGCTGTCATATATAATGTTATCATTATGGATAAATTTCATGATATTAACTAAGAAATGATTTATAAATTAATTTTATAATAAAGCTAATTTGAAAACTCGCACTTAATTTATAAAATATTATTCAAAAATCTTACAAATTTTTCTCACAAAAAATATTTTACAGATTTTAGGTTTAAATTATATATATATATATATATATATTATAATAGAATTTCAGTTATCCCGATATATGATTATATTATAAGAAAACTTCAATTATCTCGATGTATGATTGAGGTATCATAAATTTTTTCGTTAAAATTTGATGTCCTCTTCAAACCCAATATAAAACGCACAAATCTATTAAATCACATCAAATATTGAGCAAACCCAACACAAAATACACACAAATAACATGATCACACTAAACGTTGGGATTATAGAGATAACTCTCATTGTGTAACATTTAACTTCTGTAAAATTTTAGAAATAGCTTCTAGAATGTAACATTTAGTTCTCATCTGACTAATGATCCTTTTAATACTATTTGTGAATATCCACACTCAATTTATGAGATATTATCTATTTTGATTTAAAATTCTTATAATTTTCTCTCATAAAATATGCACAAATTTAAATTTATATCTTTATATATATATATAAATTATAATAAAATCTCATATTATCTCAATATAAGATCGGGACATCACATTCACAAAAATGTATAACTTTTACATATTTTCAAACATTTATTTATAACTTTTTTATTTATAGAAATACGTTACTATTAAGAAAAATATAAATTTTGTACATACATTTATAATCGCGACAAAGTGACGTGGAAAGTATCGATGTTTTAATTAAAGCATTGGTTTATTCTATTTTTAGCGTGAAAACATTTTTTTAAAGTTAAAGTATGTTTTCGAAGGCATTCCTTTACTCCTTTACGTTATCATTTGTTCCTTTACGTATCATTTGTAAATGAAAATTGGAGTCATGACAAATTTTAATTTGATATATAATTAGTTATTTTTATAATGAAGTAGAGAAAAGTTGAAACTATAGGCTTCCAATTTTAGTTTGTTTTTGTCTTTTTCTTTTACTAATTAAAAGGTGTAGAAGAAAATTATTGACGTGTCAAAATTATTGTCAGTTTTTATTACGTATTGGATGACCGTATAGTCCCTATCTCATCAGTGGCTTGGTTATGTAGAGTTCAACTTTGCATCTTGTTGTTTTGGTTTGGAGGATTTTCTTCCTTTTAAGATTGCAAATTTCATTTTAAAAATATTTCAACTAATAAATGTTGTTTTGACACTTAATTTAATTACTTTATATAATTATTTATAAAGTAACATTTAATCAATTTATAATTCTATTTCTATTTCTTGCATCTCAATTTTTTTAATTTATTAATCTTGTATTAACTTTCATAGAGTTTTAAAAAATAATTTTTTGTTAAAATTAAAGTTTCATAATTTTAATATTAAAAAATAAAAAAATTTTAGATGTTCGAAATATATATATATATATATAATTTTAAAACATTTAAAAAATAAATGAAGAAAATGAAACAACAAATATATATTAATGAAATCTAATGATCTTTGCTAAAAGACACGACAGTCGTTAACGTTAGGTTGATGCGATGATTTGTCACGACAGATTAATAACTTGCACGGAAAACCAAAAAATTCTCATGCAGAAAATAAGGGCCCTTGTTTGTTGAACCCTGAAAGGAAGGCCATGATGGTTACCATGGGATATGACAAACGGCACACACAACATCTTATCACGGTTCACACGTCTCAAATGTCTCAAAAATATATATAAATACATATTTTTTATATATGAAGTTGCCTAGATTTAAATCCTTACTATTAAAACTAAAAGTCCGACACAGATCATGCGACTGTTAACAACCTCTAATACACACTGTTTTAAAGAAATCCAAAGCTAAATGCCTGCCTCAGCTGTTTACCAGTGATGAGAAGAGAGCATTTGCTCGAGCGAAAAAGATGCTAGGCAAGTTTGTGACCTGTACAGGATTAGCTGATGGGAGCTTTTGAAACCGAAACAAAAAGGACAGTCTACCACAGACAAACAAAAATGATCTAGGATGATCATGTTTCTTACTCATCGTTTTGCCTTTCGACAATAAGGGGTTGTTTCCTTTTTAGATTTTTTGGCCTTCACATTCTTGCCTTTGAAGTTGAATTTTTCATCATCAGAATCATCATCATCATACTCATCCCTAGACTTCTTGCCGTGCTTTTTCTCATCTCCTCCAAAGACAACAATCTTTCTCATATCTAACCGTTCTGCGTCGTCGTACTTCTCCTTCGGCCTCCAAATAAACAGAGACCTAAAAGTAAAAGATATATCAGACAATGAAGACTACCAGCAACATAATCAAAGATGACCAAAAAAATAATGAAAGATGAAGTAACTGAACACTGAAAATTCACTACATCATAGACTTAATAATCATCACCATTTATCAAAAACTGAATTTGATCATTTTTGTCCAGTCTAAGCTTTGGAAATCGGATTGAAAGAAAGCCAACATGTCTGACTTGAATTTATTACTATCATAGATGTAAAGTATTATGTAGTCAAACAAAGCTCAAAAATGGATCTCGCTTTGCTCATGTACTCTTCCATCCTTTCGAAACAAGTACAATCTAGACCCACTAAACATGAAAGATTGAACCTAACCCTATGGCAAAATCTTGCATGCTATATACTGGATGCACTAGCACGCTTCTTCTGCAGCAGCTAAAAACTAATAAGGGGAAAGTAGACATGATGACATACTATTTACCGGAAGTTCACAGCCAAAAGGGCTTTATGACAAGTTATGAAAGTACAGAAATTAGCATCCAAGAATGATGAAGACCAAAACAGAGAACGAATTCCAACCTTGAACTACCAGATGCCAAGACATCATCTCTCGGATGTAGTTTGTTCACAGGAGTAATAGTCGTAATGTTTGGATCCATAACCTCAGCTACTAGTTGTCCTGTGTTTATATCTATGAAATCAATGGGATGTAGGGCAGTTCCATTATAATTTTCACTTATGTAGCGACCAATAACTGCAAGAGACTCTGATGGATCCTGCACAAAAGGAACAAGGGAATCTTTAAAGATAAAAGATGTATAATAAACCAATAATAAAGTACTTTCATATCAAATTTTATGACCTTAGGATCCCATTCAGCTCGGAAAGGAGTCAAGTGTCGATTGAAATCATGACTATGTACAATTTCTCGACTTGGTGAGTCCAAATTACCAAAGATGGAGTCCCATATACGAAGACGATTATCCTGAGATGTGGTAAGAATTTTGCATCCAGACAATGGGGAGAAATAGGCAGAGTTCACAACACGTCTATGCTCAAGGTTACAAAGAGAAGATCCAGCTTCTAATCGACGCATATCCCACAAACGAGCCTGAAATGATAAGGATGTTTGATTGGCAAAAGAATAGTATGCAAAATGACATGCAAAAATTGACCATGTGTGCAGACAATCTTTAAAGTTTTTGTTATTGATGATAGTAGCAATAAAAATATTAAATCCCCATGTATACTTTGGTATACAAAAGGATAAAGTAATGCAACAGTTTAATATCAACAGAATAAAATATCAAGTGATGCAATAAGGACATAGGAGCCTTACAAAGTGATCATTTCCACAACTCAACAAAAGATCTGGTTGAAAAGGATTACAGTGCAGACCAACTACTTTGCTTCCTTTCTTATGGATCATAATTGCCTTTCCGGTTTGGCTGTTGGAGCGAGCATCCACCCTGGATATGCCAGAATGAAATTTCCAATCAAATTTGAGCATAATGCTCATATTTCTCAAACAAAGAAAAACTCATAATTTCATACTTTTAGTGCTTCAAGAGTATGCAATGAATGCATGGATAAGAAAATTACTCACAAGTATAGGAAACCAAAGTTATCAGCTACAAGCACAACACTTTTCTCTGAGTTGATATCCATGCCATAAAGCATCCTCCAACTGGCTGGACCCTAAAGATGGAACACATATTGTCATGGTTCATGATTTATTAAAAAGAAATTGCAAGTGACAGCCAAAAACTACCTTCTTTATATTCCAATTTTTAGTTTAACTCACTTTGTCCACCCTCCTGAGTTGCCACAATGAAGGGGGCAAGGCGGGTGCCATGCTCACTTTCCTATATCCACTTTGCCTAAATGTTTCTGTTTCTTTATTCACAGCTCTGTTCAACTAAAATGAACTTAATAACAAAAGATCTGGTTGAACAGGATTACAGTGTACTAAAATGTACTTAATTACTGAGAAATGTATGATAACTAGCAGGCAATTTTTTAACTGATGAACATTATTCTTTTACAATTATTGAAATGAAATATATTAAGCATTCAAGGACTTCAAAGTAAAATAAGTAGGTGTTCTTATTAAAACTTGGTGATTAATGACGATCATAAATCATCCATAGTGATGCAAACAAGTGAACTGCATATATTTTTATCAGAAAAAAAGTGAACATTAAAAAACACATATTTCTGCACAAACTTTGAACATTTAATTGTTATAAATTTATAATATCATCAATTATTATAAATTTATAATATCATCAAAAGCGTCAACAATTATCCGTCAATTGTATTCAGAGAGATAGACATAAAACAGAAGATCTTTGCCTCTTTGGTCAAAAAACCTCTAATCATTACCTGCCAACCATCAGGATTAAGATTAATTAAAGATGATGAAATTCCAGTCTCCAAGTCAGTGCAACTGATGGTTCCATCCGAGGATGCAGCATATATTGTACCATCATTTGCAGGACTGAACCTGCAAGGATTTGGATTTGAGGCTTCTGATTAAAAAGACAAAAAATGGACTACAAAGTCTACAAAATTGAAGTATTACCATGTACATTTCTTTTCTTATACAAAGGTGCAAATACACATGCCCTTGTATGAATGTACAAGATAACAAAAGAAGATACAGCTTCAAACAAGGATCACTTACCTCATATTATTGAGTATACAAGAGTGTATGTTTCCATAAACTGTCTTTTCATGCACTTTAGCAAAATCCCAGACTCCAAGTTGTCCTTTCTTTTAAATGAATTAGAAAAAAAGAGAGGCAGACATCAAGAATCAAAGCTTCATTAATATAAATTTAAACCAAGAAACAACTTAGTGTCTCGATGAGGTTGACCTTATCTCCTGACAAAAGGATGTGATTGTTTGTGGGATGGAACTCCAAACATGTTACCCTTCTACTGTGGTATCTGATAGCTGCACAATTGACTTGATCTGGGATCACATATGGTGGCTTGATCTATTAAACGAATAAAAGAGAGTAAAACAAATTCATTTTAAGAAGAGAATCACAGAATATCACTAAGAGATCACCATAGAACAGACAATTTGAGTAGTTTTAAAAGGACATATTCAACAAAATCAACTAATATCAAGTTGAAAATTTAGTCAATCCCGAAGCACAACTGAATAATATGAAGCTCAAATGCAAAGAAAACTAAGCTTCTTGAATCATAAGCTGGAACCACATAAATCAGGTAACTTTCAAATCAGAAATTATCACATTGTTTGCTGCTATACTCATAGACTCAAAAAAAGATTGTGACATAAAATTCTAAGCGTAAGGAAAACTTGATAAAGTAGCAGTTATAGAACCTTAAGCTTACAAAAAAATGTGAAGCCTAATTAAGGATTTCCAATTCAATTTCAATTAAAAATTTTAAAACTAGAAGCTTTAATGTTAGACTTAGAATCATTATCCCATGTCAAAAATAATCAAAGGATGGTAAATTCAAATTCCATATATCCAAAATGTTGATTTTGATAATCTAACATAAATCCAAACTATAGAGACCACTTTTGTCCAGAATGGTAACATTTCAAAGTACTTAACAAACATGAGCCCGCAACTGAACTACCTTTATGATTTGCCTAACTATATCAGTATGCAAATGATATTGCATGATAAGCGCACAGGATACAATGACATTCCCAAATGGCATAAAATATACTGTCAAAGAACACAATTTGAACACAAAAGATTTACAAACTCAATTCTCGCAGGCAGCAGTTAAGTTACATCTTAAAAGGGTCATCAAAAGTATTACTCAGCAGACGTACAATTGAATTACATGTCGAAGGAACTTCTTGAATTCACCTAAACAACCCTAGACAAAATGCTTCCAAAGAGAACTGGACATCTGACTTGCATAAAAGAAGAATAAGAAAATGGTTGCCCCCAAAGGTGAAAGAAATCAAACTGTCACTGTAAAAAAGGAAATCCAAAGCTTACCGAAGTAATCCCAGGTCTAAGTTGGCGCTCAAATATAAATTCCACTGGGTTCTGGATATTTTTATGGGGTGCTGGGATGACCCCATGCTCTGTAGTTACCCTATGTGGACATGTCATTGTAGTATGACCTTCAATGTATAAAACACATAAGCAACATACAGATCAATCACAACAACAAACAACATAAATGCAGTGGAAACTTGGAAATATGACTTGATGAGAGACACAGGAACCCAAAAAAACAGGGCAATAGACATGCACAAATATTTAAGAAGTGAGTGACAACTTACCGGGCATTTTGCAAAGAAAGCAAGGTTTCATTGGGCAATCAATATAGGTAGCCCCCTTAAACCCCGCCTCGTGACCCGCCTTCTTACACACCTAAACCGCAACCAAAAAAAAAAAAAGTTTACTTTTTTTTTCTCTTAAAAAAGCCCACTAAAACCAAAACAATTCCAATTTACTTACTTTGCAGACTTTCTTGAGACTGATAGTAATGGTTGCTTTGCCTTTCTTTTTGGCATCATTAGAATCTTCAATTTTATCTTTATTTTCATTTTCTTCTTCTGATGGTGGGTCTACTTCTTGCTCTTCTTCTTCTTCCTCTGAAGAGCTTTGTTCAGAGTCCGTATCACTCTCAATAAGTACCTTAGGAAACGCCGTTCTTCTTTTTTGCGGGGCCATTTTTGAAAACCCAATCTAAAGAGAAAAAAAACAAACAAACAAATAAACACGACAGAGATTCGATACGAGGAAACTGCAACTAAAAAGGCAAAACCGAAGGGTTTGGGGCAAAGAGGTAAAAAACGGGGAAAGACAATGACTTTGCTCTTCGTATTTAAAGCACACGTGTTATCGGATTTACCACATTATCCTCAGGACATGACCGGGATTGTGTCGGGGAAGGGTCTTAGGGAGTTGGGGTTAGTTTCGTGATTGCGTTTCGGTTCACGGCGGGAGATGACGTGGCTCATTGTACGCCGTTAGGAATTGCCTCGTGGATCTTCCTAAACGGTCTAGTTTTGAACCATTTTTAAGCCACCAAAAAAATAATCAAAAATCAAGTCGGCACTATTAATTTCAGCAACAGCAATAATCATTATAATCGAGTTGGTACCGCATCTACGACTTTTGTGCGCATAATATTCATAGCATTCTTGGCCCGGGCTGAACCAGCACAGACATGGCAGAGCCAAGCTGCATAACGAAGACTAAATAAGCAGAAAATATAAGGTAATTAGTGTCGATAGATGTGTCATCAGGGAAGGAAAGAAAGGCAAAGTAAGCACAAACTGATCCCTGACCTTGAAACTCCGGTTTCACTTTGCTTCTGACAATCTAAATTAATACGAATATAAAAATAAAAAAAAATAATACGATTTAAAATTTTAATAAAAATTATATATAAATTTATCAAAATCAAAAAATATTTCATATTTTCATATCAACATAAATTATAACATATAATTTTAGTATAAAACATTATATAAACATAATAATTATTAATATTTTACACAATACAAATACATAATTTACCACACAAATACATAATTTCCCAGGTCTACATTTTACAAAACCACAGAAGTGTCACCGAGGAATATCTGGGAAAGAAAGGCGTGTATTATGTAATAGTAGAAAAGTTTAAATTTCTATTTTACAAGGGGCAATTGTATTACTAAATGGCTTCAGCACAGCTGCTCTGATCTACCTTAACTCGACTGGTAAGCGAAGGCCTCATTGTTACAATTGCAGATTCATTAGCTCCAGCTCTAATAGCAGCCTTTCCAGCTTCCAGGAACCTCTTGACCGCATCCTCCACGTATCTGTTGGCTTCACCTACCGTCATGTTTCTGCCAATATTTGGGTAAGTATTGAGGACATAATCACCATTGAGCTGTGATGCAAGCTGAACGAGTTCAACTTGGAATTCTGAGAGGCTAGAATCTTCTTTCGGTCCCCATGGCCTCAATGGTGTCTTCACTTCGGGAAGAGTTTCTGCATCCAAATTTTAGCACATATTATAAGCCACCCAGGAAAAGATGTAATAGATGATTTCTGACAATGCTTTGATAAGAGAAAATTACATCCATCTGAACTCTATATCTGACAATTACGACATTCAGAAAACTTTAGTTGAAACAAGACAGGCTTTCAATAATCAAAATCAAACTAACATAACCAAAACATGCTGTGCTCCAGTATATGGCACCATCTTCCTGCCAGACCCATTATTTATGTTTCTTCTTTCACTTCTTCCATGTGGGCAAATGGAGAGGATGTGGTTGTTAGAAACAGCACCTCAAAAGGAATGCATCACCCAGTGAAAGTACTTTTACAGTTGCAGCGTTTCCATATTAGCAAGGAGACAAAGGATAACAATCCAAAGAAATGCACATAACATAAATTCTAAACAAAGCAAATTCCACCAGTAAAGTAATGCAAGGGCACGGAGCACAACCATATTCCATATAAATTTGATACGAAGCCAACAGATTAACAAAATTCAAAAGCATTTGTAAACAAAATTGAACTCGATTCTATGATCAAGGAAAATGATGCAAACCTGGACAATCACTACGTGGAGTACTGCGCAGGTTAAAATAATTCTCAAAAGTACCAGCCCATGCATCCCTCTTCGTCAGGAAATTTGAATTCAGGTTGAAAAGCTTCTTCACTGTTGCGGGGATGGAAGAATGTTCAAATTGTGAATGTGGCATTGGCCCATCTGGCTCATGGATCACTGCACAAAAACAAAGAGCAAGAAATACAGAACGTCAAGAATTGCTACATTTAGTAAATAACAGTGCATGAAGTCAAGAAATGAAGTGAGTCCTAGGGACAACTGAAAGATTGCTCTGTAAAATTAATTGCTCAAAGCATCAGTTCAACATGAAAATGAAAGAACTGGCCAAATTAAATGTAGTCACTATTGGTTTTGCATCTAATATATAGGAAGGCAGCTCAATCCACAGACAAGGAGAGCTTCGTCTTTTGGTAGACTGAACAAGTATTTCATCTCTCATACAGTCATCTCTACTAATCAAGCGGATGTTGGATGGGTTTCATTCATTCTAGATAAGAAGCCAATGTCTTCAAAATTCAACTTATGGGAGTTTCAATTCTGGCATATCAACAAGAATTTCTGAACAACAGAATTGCAAATAAAAACAAATTATGAATGACTTGTCAACTCAGAAATAGACTGCTAGAACTCATACGCTTTTAGTTATATCTACGATTATAAGTTATGTTTATCTATTTCTATGAGTTACATCGTTAATGGCTGATTTTTATTATAATATACTCCGTTACAATAGGATGAATCGTCTTACAATCTTTTCTACTGAAGAGTCCAATCTATTTCTTTTACTACACATCGCACACAAACACCCAAATCAAATTTCGATACTAACATGGCACTTAATAAGACATGGAAAAGAAATCAAACTTGGTTTCCACAGAGATTACTGAAAAACTAGGCTCGCAATTCGACTTTCACCCTTCTATCGAGCAAACTGATTCAACTAAATGGCTAACCCCTCTAATCAACTGTTACACAAAGACAAAAAAATATCCCACCAAAAACAGGGGAGTATTAGAAGCAAAGCAATGTCCTCTCAATTATCACTAAAAGGACAAAACTTCAAACCATGCTTCTAATCAACACCAAGTCACCAACCCATTAAACTAAAAGGACAAAACTTCAAACCAAACCTTGGAAACAACATTTTGCATCAAACTTCCTTTAAATGACATTAAAAGAGTTTTATCTTTGATTTCGTTTAAGTGTTTAGTCAACAAATGACTTGTAACCCAGAAAAAGCCAACAAATGACAACTCCTCAAATCATCATCTAAAAAAAGAACAAAAAAAGAAAAATCTTTTGTAGCAAATGATAATTCACTAACAATACATAAATTATATTAAAAAATTCATTAAGACATCAAATATAAACCCATTAAAAGATTGAAAAAGCAATAAATTGAAATCTAAACTATTTTTTTTCATTAAAAAAAAAATACTCACCAGTGGCCTTATCAATCCAGGGAGAGACCAAGATAGTAGGGACCCTAACACCCAATCTATCAAACTTGAAATAATACGGGTCGGGTCCCACAATTCCATCCGGGTTAGGCACACCCGAGACAGGAGTCGGCACATGATCATAAAACCCCCCGTGCTCATCGTACGTAATCAAAAGCGCCGTCTCCTTCCACTGCGGACTAGCTCTAAGTATCTCGTACACCTCCTTCACGAACCTCTGTCCACGCGCCACGTCATGCGACGGGTGATCGTCGTTCGCCGGAAACGCCTTCACATCGAAGTAGCGTTGCTCTACCACCACGTAATTTGGTAGTTTCCCAAGCCGAGCGTGGAGCCGGAACTTCAGGGTGTAACTGTGGAATTTGGTCAGGAACTTCAATTTTCTTACGCTTTTGAAGAAAAGGGTGGCCGGGATATTTTGGTAATAAATGCCGAAGCTGAGGCCATTTTCGTCCAACGAATCGAATATCGTTTTTTGAGGGAATCCGTGGATGAGGTCTTTCCTGACGTTACTCATGGCGCCAAACGACGTCGCTGAATGAACGTAAAAACGGTTCGGTTGAGTCGAGGCGGGAACCGAAGCAAACCACCGGTCGAAAACGCCGAACTCGTTCGCTAGCTTCGTGTAAACCGGTAACAGGCCCGGTTTGAACCCACTCATCACAGTTTTGGCCATTCCCTCACCGATGCTCTCCGCTTGTTGGGCGAAGCCGTTCATCGGAGCCGGGTTAGCTGAGGTATCGTTGGACCCGAAAATCTGTTCTCTGATCGCTTGGAAAGAGTGGCCCGGATCGGAATCGACGAAGATAGCGTCGTCGGAGACGGAGATCTTGGGGGAGTTGGGGTCGGTGACGTTGACTGGATTTGACTCGGAGCCGGTGAGTCCGTCGACATCGGGTCGGGTAGATTTGAGCCAACCTAAAAGATGGTCAAAGGACCGGTTTTCCATGACGAGGATAACTAAAGTTTTAATGGGTCCTTTGATTTTGTGTTTCTTCCGGAAATCATATTTAGAACTAAGAGAGTGAGAGGCAATTATAAGGCAAAAGAACAGAACAAGGGCGAAAGGAATTCGCCGGCCGGAACCCATTTCCCGTTGTCCGGTGAAGCTAGGAAAAAGCTTAGAACCAAGAAAAGATTTTGGTCGCTAGCGTACGGAATAATATAATCATTTGGGAGTTATTAGGTAGAACGAACTGTAGTTTAAAAAGGAGGTTTTGTTTTTCTTTTCTTAGGTTTTTGTTTCTAAAACGAACCATAAGCTGCCACGTGGCTTTGTTTCGGGCATTAGCCTGTAATCGACGTCACGGGAGTTTGGGTTTTCTTGATTTTCTTATGGTAATATAAAATAAATATAATATAAAAATAAAATAAAATAAAAATATATTTTATATTTTATATTTTTAAATTGATTTCAATTATATTGAGTAATTTTATATAAAATATAATATAAATATATAAATTTTAATATTATATATTATACAAATACATTAACTATTTTATTTATTATCATTCTTTTTAACTCTAATTTGAATGTCTGATTTGATTTTGATATGAAAATAATATAGGTAAAAAAATTACTTCTTTAAATTTTTTTAAAATTTTATTAGTAAAGTTATGAGAGTGGCTTGATTTTTTAAGGTATATTAAAAATAAGATAAGTAATAATTTTTAATTTTATTTGTAAAATTAGAAAATTTTATTATTAATTAATGTATTAAAAACAAACTCAAAATAATTTTTTGAACAGACGAATTAAAGTAAAAGTTTGAATTGATGTTACCCTTTTCCTAGTACTTGATCCTAACCCTACTTGTAAAAAATTATTTGCATAATTAACGAAATGGCTGAGGTATATGAAAAGGACTTGAAAGTTGAAAATGGCCCCTTTAACCTTCCTCAGTAATGCCAAAAACAAGGTAATTGTAGTGAATCGGAATAGAACTTAACTGAGTAGCTTTCAAAGTAAATGAGCATTGAAATTGTTGACCATAAACTTACAAATCAATCTGATCTCAGGCCTGTCATGCCTTACACTAATTCAATGCTGGACTAGCAAAACCTAAGAACAACAATAGGATCATTATCTTTGATAAAAAAGAACTTCAATAACTGGTTTATTCAAATAATTTAGGTTTTATTTGTGAAGTTGGTGTCCATCCTCTCGTCATAAGATTTGATATCATATTGGAATATCTTAAGGATATGTTATAATATCTAAATAAAAGTTTAAATTAAAACTAGTAAAGTATTTTTGTAAGATAAATTTATAATATTTTTGAGTTAAAATAAATAATATATCACAGATTAAATACGAATTTTTATAAATAATATTAGAATAGTTATTAGTTGAATAAAAATTAAGTATTATATCGAAATAGTCATTTTTTAAATCTTGATAAAACTAAATGCTATACAGTGAAAGTCACTTTTAAAATCTTAATATTTTGTTTAATTTAAGTAATATAATTTTTATTTTTATGATTTTGTCGGTGCTTTATATTAGATTTGACGAAAATATCAAATTTTAATGAAAAAAATTTATGATACCTCAATTCTATATTGATATATTCTGAGAATTTATTGTGATATATATATTGAGATTTAAAATTTATATTTGTGATGTACTTTTTATAAAATAAAATTATAAAATATTTAAATTAAAATGAATAATATCTTATAGATTAAATACGGAGTTTTCACAACCCACCATTCTTCCAAAAGGTAGCCTTAGTAACTGAAACTACAAGAACTATACAGAAATTCCAATGTTCATTTTAGTGATCAATTGTTTGATTTTTGGGAAGAGAAATTAAACAGAGACTATAGATTAAGCTATGGGAGACCAGAGATTAAATACATTTCCCGGAACTTAAATGGATGATGAAGGTTCATCATTCTACATTGAGCCGGATTTTTCATTCCCAGTGGCCTAAGAACTTGGGCAAACAATCAAAAGATCGGCCCAACCGGCTCCAAGATCAGACAATGAGGCCCGGCCCAATGAAATAAAGAATTAAAAAATTAGCTTTATTAATTAATAATTTGAAAACACAAAAATACTGTTTCCCTCTTTTCCTCTCTGCATTTAAATTAGGGTTATTACATTTAAAAATTAGGGTTTTCGTTTCAAAAAGGGAAAGAAGATGAATCCATTAACGTTAGTAAAGTGATTGCAAAACATAACGCAAAAGAAGCAGATTTAGGGATATCGGAGGAAGCGTCATGGCACGCCAAGTACAAAGATTCCGCTTGCATCTTCGTCGGCGGCCTTCCCTTTGATCTCACCGAAGGCGATCTCCTCGCTCTTTTTGCCCAGTACGTTTTCTTTCTCAATTTTCATTTTTTCCACTTTGGAATTCTTTATCGGTTTCACTTTATTACGCAGCATTTGACTTGAATTCTTATGTATTTTTTTCTATTTTGTTTAGATATGGAGAAATTGTAGATGTCAATCTTGTTAGAGATAAGGGTACAGGGAAATCGAGAGGTTTTGCTTTTCTTGCGCATGAGGATCAAAGAAGTACAATTCTTGCTGTAGGCTAGGTTCAAATTTAAGTATAGTTTGATTTAATAATGAGGAAAGTGCTCTGATTGAGCTTTTCTGATTTTTTTTTTCTTGGTATTGAAGATAATCTTAATGGGGCACCGATTTTGGGTCGAATTATAAGAGTTGATCATGCCGAAAAGTATAAGAAGAAAGAAAAAGATGAAGATGCAGAACAGAAGAAGAGGGAGGCCCGAGGGGTTTGTTGTGCTTTCCAGAGATGTGAATGTAATTATGGCGCTGGATGTAAATTTTCCCATGATGAGCAAGTAAGATTCATTTCCATTTACCGTTGATTTTTTATACATGTAATTTATTCAGATGGCTATATTGCAAATCATCATGAATGAGTGCTTTTAAGTTACTTTTAGGGGTCCAGATGAATTCAAAGCATGAATGGCTTATGCTAGATACTAGTTTTGCTGACATTTTGCCTTGGGATATTTGTTTAGTAATAATTTATTTATGTAAAAATAAAAAGATTGAAATGGATGTTGTGATTCTTTCAATTAATTTTGAGTCAAATGAAGTAATCTTGTTGTTCTTTTATTCTGTAGGACTCAGTCTAGATACTAAATCATAAAATTGGCATAGCGATCAACTGTTAGACTCTGCTACTATATGTGATTTATTTCACATTCAAATGCAATAATGCTGTTGTCCAATTGATTGTGTGAACTATGATGGCACAAGAGAAGTGTGCTCTGTTAATTTTGTTGTTATTTTTTGAAAAAAAAATATTTTTCCTCTATTAATCGTTCTTGGCTTTCTTTTTCCATCTGGTCCAGAGACTTCTATGTTTCTTATAGTGTTGCCTAGTTATGCCTTTTTTCGATTTTATACCCAGAGAGCTGCCAACACTGGTTGGGGTCCTCGGGATAAAAGTTCAAGATGGGGAAATGACAAATTGAGGGTTCAAAAAGGAGTGAGAAAAGTTTTGGCATGCAGGAGCGTGTAGTTCAAGAAGGTTTTTGACCATCAAGGGGTGATGCGAAGGCCTTAGAGAAAAGTGATGGGAGGGAAGGTAAGAGATCTAGAAGGTATGTTGAAAAAGATGTTGGACAAACATCAATAGAAGATTATAATCACAGAGAAGAAAAGAGATCAACATGGCATAATGATGATGATCGGTTTAGAAGGGAAGAAAAAAGATCTAGAAGGCATAACGATAGCAACTTTGAGCCAAGGTCACGAGAAGATTATTATATGATGGATGAAAAGAGATAAAAAAAGGCTTGGTGATGGTGAGTTTCAGCTAAGGCCTCGTAGAGATCATGGTAGGAGAGAACAAAAAAAGTTATCAACGAATGAATCAGAATCTTATCATAGAGAAGATCGTGAGAGAGGTGGGGACAAATGGTCAGCCAAATAAATCGGATTCTTCGTACCATCAACACAAAGAGAGTTGTGAGCTCAAGTCAGATAGATAAAATTTTTACATATGCAGAGGGAACTCTGTACTTGACCTTGTATGGTGCAAGGTGAGTCTTTACTATTCGAAAGTCATGATCTACTTTTTGGCCTGGATTTATCCTGAGCTTTGTTTGAAATACTTGTATTCATCATAAATATTTTGATACACAATCTTTTCTCTCTTCTTTTTTTTTTTTTTTTTCCTGTTGGATTGATAATTCAATTTTTATGAAGTTTTAGAGCAGCTTTTAGATGTACAGCCTAAAATCAAAATCATTCCTAGGCGTGATCCTGCATCTCATCCTCTTCGATGATAAGTTGCAGAAGGTGGGACAACAATGTCTTCCGATTTCGAGTAAATTTCCTTGGAAAGAGTGTATCAGTTATCTCCCACCAGAAACTCATGAATGGCTCCATTGACCTCAATTGCGCTACAACCTTGTTCTTTCTTGAGTCCAGTCATTCATTCTCATGTGCTTTCCTTGATCTAGAAACACTCTCCCTTTTCCCAGTTTTGGCTTATACATACATCAGAGAAAAAGAACATATGCTCCATGGTTTCCAGGATCCAACTCAAGCAAAATGGCTACAAGCACACTACACATTGGTAAAAGTCACAGACTTGGGCTTCATCGTGGTTTCTTCTATTCTGGAGAACAAATCTATTGCATCTCTCCCATGTCCGTGCCTTTGGTTGGCATTCGAATGCCATGACATGAAAAACTGATCTGGCACACATGGACCAAAATGAAACAGTGCCTGGTTTCCATCCTAAGATTCGGAATCGCTTCTTCTGTTAAATCACCCAAAGATCGCACGGACATTGTCGACGCAGCCTAGAACTGCGTTTTATCAGGGTCAAATTTCCAGGGACCCGAATTCGAACACAAAGCCAAATTTGCAATCAAATTGGGAAATTTAGTACTAAATTTTAGTAAAACAAACACAATTAAAATTTCTATACTCAAAATACAAGAACAAGTATATAATTTTATTTCTAGAAGCCTAATTCGTATTACAAAAACGAAAATTTGGAATTAAGAGAATATTTCAGCAAAATCACCGGCTCTTGCTATCGTAATCGACGACCTCAGAATCAGTAACGGACCGTGAATGTTGGACGATGGACCGACCGATCGAATTGATCCAATCCTCTTTCTCTTTCTCCGTATCCGCGACGAAGTACATGGTGGAATCTCGAGTGGAAAGCTCGAAAGCGAAGGCCTTGTTCACGATGTCCTCGGCTCCCTTCACCGTGAGACAATCGCCCACCGACACAACGCCACGTGGAGTGGAGCCGCGGTTGACGGAAGCTGGGTCCTTGAACCATAACAGCTTGCCTTGCTTCAAGATAAACCAGCGGCGGCGCCAGCTCTTGATGTAATCGCCTTGTTTAGTTAGCCAACCGGCTCGTTCGGGGCCAGCCCAGAACTCGATGCCTTTGTAGTCATCCGGATTCGGGTCCTGACCCGTTGCCGCTCGCCATAGATTCTCCATCTTTGTTTTAGAGAGGATTGGCTTTCGGGGAAAGAAATTAGTTCGGATTTGTAATTGGGAATTGTTTGGCTGTTTTGACTTGACTTGAAGTTCGAGAGGCCTTTGGCTTTGTATAAACGAGGTCGTTTAGAAGATGGTGATTCGCGAATAAGTATCAAATAAAAAAGAACTCGAATCATCTTTCTATCTGTCTAATTTGGATTGGCATTATTGTCGTAACAAATAAGATTTCACGTAATTATAATAATTTTTTAAAATTTTGATAAGGTTAAAACAGCTCTTAAACCTTTAATATAATGGTTAAAGATGTTTGGAATGACATTAAAGACTTGATTTTGAACCAAATTTTTTTTTAATTTATATCAGAGATTTATCCTTTTAATTTAAAAAAAAAAAAGATAATGATTAGAATAACGAAAGATTTTATTAGATAAGATTAATTAAGGATGTAATTTGTAGTTAATGGAGCAGTGAGATTATTTTGAGGGAAAGAATATTATAAAATAAACTTAAAATTTAATTCAATTATTTTATAATTATTCGTGATATACAATTGATTTTGTATTTAAATCTCAATATTTATATATATTTTTTAAATTACAACTTATTTTATACAAAAAAATTCATTGCAAAACTATTTGTTAAGAAGCAATTTTCATTTTTTTGTTAAACTAAGATTTAATTTTGGTTGAAATCATAGTAAAATTTTAAATACAATAAATTAATGCAAAAAAAATGCTTTTAAGATTATTTGAATAAGAGATTAATCTAAATAAAATTTAAAAACATTTACCATCGGTGGTAAAAAAAAAAATCCTGAAATTTGTTAGAATATTTATATTAATAAGCAACTGACTAGAATAGAATGGTTCAGGTGAAGGCATATGTTAGAGAGAACAATATCTTGAACTTACCTATCAAATATTAGGTGAAGTAAATAAAGGCATTATGGAAAATTTTCAGTATTATCATGGATACCATCATCTTCCAATAGTTCGGTTTCTTGGATAATTTATTGAACATGGCAGACATATTTCAGCTTCCTTGGTGCAAAGGGACAAATCGAAATCAAAAAAAAAGCATTAAAACAATCAAATTAGTGTTTCTTCACGTTGTCTGTGCATTATGAGATTTCCACTACTTCATGAAGTTGTTTTTTTATGCTGAGAGGGGCTTAGTCTTGAGTTTCTTGGTTATTTCTGCAACAAATTTACTTTGGTGAAAGGTCTGTCGGAGCTCTAGATCGGTGGGTTCACGGGATCCATCGGCTGCGTAAGTACCAGCACCATAAGAGGAGCCTCCCTTTACCTCTTTCATCTCAAACATGCCATTGCCAAAAGTGTATCCAAGAGGGACAAGTATCATACCATGATGAGCTAACTGTGTTACAGCAGTTAATCTGCAAATCAAGTGCATTGTTACCTTTTGCATGGTCTTTTGCATTATATGAATTGACAGATAAATTGAATAAAAAAAAAAATTAGAAGTTGAGACATTGTTACCTTATTACAGAAGTGCAAATAAGAAGAAAGAATGATTTGAGACAGGAGAAAAACAGATAATGCGGCTTTTGTCTAAGGATTGAAATAGTTTGTACAGTTTGATGGGCTTTTTGGTAGGTTTGGTTTGTCTTCAAATAAAATGTACATTGTTTCATATGAAAGTTCGTTCACGTGGCAAATATGTGTTAAAATATTTGCTTTTGTTGGGTTTTAGTTATCAGAAAAAATTCAAGTTGGATTAGTGTATTGTTTGAGTCGAACTTAAGTTGCTTGAGTGATATATTTAACTAAATTTAAATAATTTAATTACTGACTTGGAACCTTATGAACTTAATCGAATTTTTAATATATTTAATATATATTTATAAAAGACAAAAATGTAATGTTTAATGCTAATATTTATAATTCTAATAAGTCTAATTGAGTTTATCGAGCTCAACTTTAGCAGCAAGTGTTGAGAAGAGATTTAATTATTTCTCAACAAATGAAGACTCTGCAAGATCAATGGCACGGGCAAGAGCTGCAGCTTTATTATCACACTCTCTCTGTTCATCAGCAGGGACGCTGTCAGCCACAATCCCTGCCCCTGCTTGGAGGTGAGCCACCCATTCTCGACGCTTGTTCACATCGTTGTATGAATACATGGTATCATATCGAGTGGCAGTTGGAAAAACAATGGTTCTCAGTGCAAGGGCAATGTCCATATCACCAGAGAATGAAATGCCTCCAAAGCCACCACTATATGGTCCTCGCCTTGTGACTTCTAATTGATCAATCAACTCCATTGCTTTCACCTGTATTGCAGCGTTATGAAAATGGGAAACCACCAAAAAAGTTATCCCTCTACACTAGCAGGAGGCAAAGAGTATACAATCATTCAGGTTGGATTAGAAGAAACCCCGAGGGTTGACAAGGAAAACCTTTGGTGCCCCACTAACAGTTCCAACGGGTAACGCTGCACGCAAAGCATCCCAGCTAGTTAAATCATCAAGTAATTCTCCCGTGACCTACAGATTTCAAGTAGAACTTAGCCACTATGAACAAGATAATAAGAAGCATCGGACAGCAGCTTAAACAAAGGCAGAATGTAAGCTGAAAGTTTACATCGCCCTCCTTCAGAGTCATACAGGAACTTCTATTAAAGGGAGCATACCGTAGAGCTGATGTGCATAACATGGGAATATTGTTCGATATTCATCAGCTTTTCAACCTTAACAGATCCCGGCTTGGAAACCTGCATGAACAACCTGTTTTAAGCAGATTCACAGCCAGATGTATATGAGTAGAAAATATTGTCAGAGCTCGAATAGTGTATATTGCCAACATGATTGTCTCCATGCAATTATTCACAAAAAAAAGCAGCGATATTCAATATTTTCCAATTGATCCTGTGAGTGAATGAGCAGCATGGTTTGAGTAAACCATACGTTAGACATCCTGCACTAACTGAATGAAAATTAACAGAGGTCAATACAAGAAAAATAAACCTTTCCAACATCATTCCTTCCCAAGTCAACTAGCATAATGTGCTCTGCACACTCCTTTTCATCAGCCAAAAGTTCTTTTTCCAACATTAAGTCTTCCTCAGGTGTTTTCCCTCTCCTGACAGTCCCAGCAAGAGGTCGATTAGTAATCTTTCCCTATTAACAAGATATAAAGATAAATTGGGAAAATGTCAGCTACAGCAATTTAACGAGATAACACTTTTGACAAGAGGGAAAAAGGGGCAGGAGAATGGGGAAGCTCACTAGTAAACAAGAAGACAGAATGGAACTATACAGAATTCTATTTATCTTTGGATTACTGCAGTAATTACCTTCTTCACACGTGTAAGAATTTCTGGACTGGAAGCAACAAGTATACACCCTCTAGCCTGATCAAAAGAAAAATGTGTACAAAAGCTAGAATTTCAACATTAAGCAAACATTTCCAACTAGGATAAGGAGGCAAAACCTGCAAATACGTCATGTACGGGCTTGGATTAACAATCCTCAGGGCTCTGTATATTTCAAATGGGTCAGCAAATGTTCTCCGTTCAAAACGCTGACTTAATACAATCTGGAAAATATCACCAGCCAGAATATGCTCTTTAGCCCGCAACACAGCCTCTTTGTATGCATCACTTGTCATGCTTGAAATCTCCAATTTAGGGCCAAAAAGACGAGTATACAACTTTATTGAACCTGCAGGCAGTTTTGGGCTGAAATTCACAATTCAATCAGAAAAACTACAACTAAACTATAGAGAAAAATATGTTCAAAAAGGTATTGGATCATTAGGAAAACAATCACTTACAGATCTATATCCTGTACTCTAGATACTAAAGTTTCCAACCGTTTCATGCCATCACTATAGGCCTCATCAACTGAAGAATATTGATCTAACCGCACCCAATGAATCACAAATGCTTTCTGTGATAAAAAAGTTAACAAATCAAAAGTGAAAATTATATTCTCAAAAGCAGCCATAAAGTCCAACTAAAATTTAAAAACAAGAAATGGTAAGACAAGCCAGGAAATAAATTACAAAGAAAAATAAAAAAGAAAACCTCATATCAAGATGTGTAATGTCATTCAATCAAAATGAAAAAAAAAATGTGTAAATCACATGAATCTTGACATCACTATGATGGCCTTTAAAACAGCCTTTGGTTTTCAAAGAAGCTCAAGTGGTACATAATTTCTCCACTTGAATTTGAGACATGCACAAAAGAAATAAGAGATGTCACTTAAAAGACACATTCAACCTAGCAAACAAAAGAAATGGAGATAGACCAAAAAATGAACTATATGTAGCCTATAGGCCAAATGTAGAATACCTTCTCAACATGGTCAAATACAATTACATCATCATAGAGGCCTAGATGAACATCTGGAAGGTTTCTGTCATCCCGGGGAGCACTAGGGAACAGCAGCTTCTTCTTCTCTACATAGCGCACTGTGTCATACGAGAAATAACCAACCCAGCCACCTGAACAAGGACATTGTATCATTACACCTTAATTCAGTGTCTTAAAAAAAACCATCCATTCCTCGATTTCATCCATTAGAAACTGACATGACTGCTAAAGCTTTCCAGAAATGTCATCCAAAACAACAGAAAAAGCCCAACATCAACAAGTAAATATGAAAGTAAATATTAGAAAACTCCAGAGTGTGATCAAAATTTTTTCCAGACTAGTTCCTATAGAAACAGAATAAAAATTTTGAAAAAGGAAAAAAAACAAGATCAGAAGTATCCGTAAACTATAAAGTTGATGATAAAACCTTTAAACAAAAATCCACAAAAGGGGTGTCATGAAGACAAGGCAAAGCTGTTAGTCCACATCACTCACCACAAAATACTTCCGGAAGCTCATCAACACGTTGAGGCTCCCATCCCTCCATAATCCTGCGTGGAACAGTCATTGGGTCCTCAACAATCTCTTCTATCCTACGCCCCTCCTCATGGTTCATAATCGTAACCATATTTTCTTTTGCCACAATTTCAATGCTTGGCTGAGCTCCAACCACACTATACCTTCCCTAACATGAATTAGCCCAAAAAACATAATATTTACCATGTTCTATAAACATGCAACAGACATACAAAGAAGGAACTTACGATACTGGAAACCTGCAAACCAGGCTCGACAGACTCAAACAAAAAGCTTGGAGCGTCCCTATCATCTTCCTTAACTAAACATCGATATGCTAGCACCGGCGTTAAGTGATCCGAGAATATACATCGGTAAAGAGGAACTAAATTCCCATTCTTGGAAGCTTCTCGAAATTTCACTGACTGGTCAACTGGTAAACGTTTCAAATCCATACAAACAAATAAAATTTTTAAAAAGGTCATATAATTATAGTTACTGAAGAAAATGAGAAACTAATTTTTTTTAACTGAATAACAATTTAAAAAAAAAACTTTTCTTTTTTTAATTATTTCATTTTCTGTCCTCTTGCCTTACATTTCCTTGTGAGTAAATCAGAACATGGATCAACCGCTTAGCGGCTTTAAGGTTAATAATTTTAATCAAAATTAGAAGGAAAGTGGCATCAATTTCAACTTTTTATACTATATTTTCCCGGGAATCAAACAGAACATTCAAAAACAATAAAAATATTCTTTGTTGAGATCGAAGTGAGAGTGAGAATACCTAATGAAGGAGATGATGAAAGAGCAGAGCACTTGAATGTACGGACACTGGAAGCAGAGCTGACAACGGTTGTGGACCTTTGACGGAAGCCGGAGAAACTAAAGTTAAAGTTAACGGAGACGGTTGAAGAGAAACAGAGGGAAGTCGAAGGAAGCTGACGGGGAGTAACGGCTAGGGTTTCCATGATCGCCATAACATAGCAGCCTCCACTTTTTGTTCGCAAGTGAGAAACTGCTCCGCTAAAATTGACACCACCGACATAAAACGAGGGAATTGTAAGATAAGAGTCTGTCTGTTGATTTTGAAATGTCAATTCGACGGCTATGTTGGGCTCGGGTCGGGTTTAGTTGGGCTTGAAATTTTTTAGCCAATAATTGGGCTTGAATGATTCTGATTTTGAGTTATTTTTTCTGGCATAATAGCATTAGAAAATATGTTTTTAAATACAAATTTTTTTGAAAATCACGATCACTGCAGCTGCATTAACCATTTATCACTTAATTAGAATATATCATATGACGCAGGAATTATTTTTATTTATTTAAATATATAAAAATATAAATTAATAATATTTAATTACACTCAAAATATATATAAAATATATATAATATAATTAAAATATCAAATCATAATAAAATTAAAATCTTTAATTAAAAATTTTACAAAATTCAAAACATACTATAAATAATATTAGAGGAAAAAATATTCAAAAGATAATATAAATAATATTATTAAGTACATCAATAAAATATTAAAATAAAAAATAAAAATTTTATCACTTTAAATTATTTTTTTTTTAATTTGCATCATTTTCATTTTATGTGATTAGTTTTATGCACCTGTAATATTTAAAACATTCATGATCTTCAACATATTCTTATTACCAAAAAGAGATATTTATAAAATTATTTTAAAAACTCTTGATTTTCAACATATTCTTATTAGTTTAAAAAATAAATTTAGATGAATATTTAAAAAGATTACAAATTTTAAACAATGCCCTTATGTGTATAAAAATTGAAATTTTAATAAATAAATATAAATGGATATCTAGATGTTTAAAAAATGTATTATCGAAATAATAACTAGTCTCATGTTTGCTATAATCTCACATTTGAAGCTCACAGGTGCTTGACATTCCGACCAAGATCAACAAAGGTACAGTGGAAATCATCACCGTCGTGGAGCTGATTAAAAAGGTTGAGAAAGTTGGCTCATCTAGGCTGCCCATCGTTCAAAGCTTGGGATAAGACCATTTTCATATATGGTCTTGTTGTCCTATCTGTTTATGATAATGAATCAGTCTTCAGCCCTGAGGTGCTTGAACTAACTGAAGATGATCTTATCGTGAAGTTGGTTAACAGGCTCTCCATGGTTGCTTCCTTTTCACAGGCTATTTTATTCCCAACTCTTGCTGGCGCTGCATCTCATATGCTTGTGAATGCCTACAAGAATGCTGTTTCTGTTGCTGTGGCTTCAGATTATTCCTTCCGCCAGACTGAGAAAGTTGAAGAATACCGGAAGGTTGGCTTAAAATGCATTGTTTAATGGATGAATTGCAAATCTACATCAACATCATAATAACAATGAGCATCAGATCAACACCATCAAATAAAAATTGATGTGGAAGAAAAAACACATGCATAATCAAGTGTATCATATTTATACATAATTGTAGAAACAGTGGCTCCAGACCTTAATTCAGTAGCAGGCAAATTGTAGAATTTGAGACAGCCACCAAATCAAGCTATCACATGTCCTTACAAAATAAATTTATGCAGATTCACTGAAGACAATTCCGAAAGAATCGAACTCCCTGTTCCAGATAAATGATTAACATTAAGATAAAGTTTAATACTGAAGATAAAATGTTGTTTGTCCTCAAATGAAGGAATCTGTACCTGCAGTGCAAAGGAGATGTCGGCTTCATCAGCTTTTAGTGTTACTCTCCTCGATTTATCATCACGAGACTGGCCTAGTTTGAAGAGCCCCTGTATATTGAATCATGTCAACATCGAGATTTTTTTCTTTTTAGGTCTATTTAGATAGTTAAATGCCTCTCTAGAAAACAGTTACTGCCATCATCTAAAGCTAGGTTATGAGAGTTTGAACTGAAATTGAAGAACAAGTATATACTTTAGTTACCTCATCATTTAGCACTCTGCACATGCTTAGAAACTCCAAAATTCCAACTGGTGGTATCAGTGTTGATTTGCAAATGTCAATGTATGATTTATTTAGCTGTACCAGTGTAACAACACCCTTACGTATTAATTTAGCAACGACTAAATGTTTCAACTTATTATTGTCAAAATTGAGAAAAACACACCTCCCCAACTGTTGTATCCTTCTTTCCGCCTCGGAAAAACTTTACAGCAGAGCAAAGTATAATCTGCAGTCACACCAAACAGCATGAGAGATGGTGAAGCAGCAGAGACATGACTTAACAGCATTTGTCTGTTGTATTCATGATAGGCTATGTTACCATTGCACCGAAATTAATATTTATGATCAAACTTACTAGTTGATGCTGAGGAAGAGACTGTATAGTATCAACTATAGGTGATCTGAATGTCTTTGACAATGCGAGAGCCATATGATCAATCCTGACCTGAAATATATCATGATGTGTAAGCTACTGTCAGGGCTTAATAGGTAGCTAAGTAAGCATGATGTGTAACACTAATGTAATAAACTCAAACTTGGAAGAGGTAATCTTAAGCTATTGATGACCACTTACAGTATTATTTTCTTGTGCTCGGAAGATTTCAAGGGCAGAAGCTGTCTGCTGGCTAATGAACTCCCCTTCTACTGACACCAAACTCACATTGCTTCCAGATTCTCTTAATTCTGCTTCTAGAATTTCCACCGCACTCCTGAGACAAACTGAAGAATATAAGCCAATAATTTAAAGTGATTACTCTGGTCAAGGCAAGGAAGGTTTTTTTTTTTTTTTTGCTAAAAAGAAAGGTCTTATTCATTAGGGAAAAAATTAGCTATGATGAGGATTCTTAAGAGATGAAAAAAGAATATGAATATATTAAGAATTTGCAGATTATGTATAATCACACATTAGAGACCAAACACTGTTCTTTACTTTTCTTTTAGCAATATGGTTTAAACAATGAAAATAAAATGCCATGAAAACCTATAGAATTTAAAGTATATTTACTATAATCAACTCTGCCTTGCAAGGACAATACTTTTTGAAACAACATTAAACTAATATCAGTTATACTGTCACTTCTAGGGCCTAATTGGTTAAAACCGAACAATTTGATACTTCAGACCATATATAGTTAAGTTGCAGCAACAATAGCAATGAAACACTGACCTACAAACACAAAGAGCTTTCCGCATGTCTCCAGATGCAGCTGCAACTTTCTGTTAGATTTCATGCTGTCAGTATCAATTGATAGCAGATGAATTAAAAACAGGAAAAGGTTTTCAACAGAAGACATCCAATCATATAACTCACTCTGGCGCAAAGTTCTAATGCTTGCTGCTGGAAGACAATATATGGAAGCACCTGTTAAGAGTGCAAATTCATTAAAACCCAATAACATGAATTTACCACAAAAATTAAAATTAGAAGTAATTTTATACAAAGTGTGAAAGTGGAGTGTAATAATACCAAAAGCCTCTCTTGAAGTATTGAAAGGATTTGATCTTTAGAGTAAGCACGGAAGGTTACAACCATTGGCTTGCCTAACACAGAGAAGTGGTAGTATAACAACTTAGTATTACTTCAAAAACAACCAAGCATCCATATTCCACATTGCACCATTGCAAGTAGCCACTACCACAGAAAGAGACTAAAAGCATTGCTTGAAATTAGTATCAGCGGAGAAATAAAATAAAGGAACAAAAATTCAGAAAATATTAGACTAGTAAGTAACAAGGAACAAATCCAAATCCCTCGGCTAGTAAATATTAGACTGCATTTTTTCAAGATGCTCTCATTTTCAACGCTGGTGCTTAGGTTAGCAAAGCAGGAAGATAGCTAGATGGCAATCCACTATTTTATAGTTGAAAAATAATCAGGACAAGAAAAAGTTATATTATAGCTAATTCAGAAGAAAGAATAAGATTCAAGAAACTCAAAGAAACAAGAGCTGCTACCACAAGATGAATTTATAAAACCAAGCTCAATACTATCATTCTCAACCAATGTAATGAAAGTAAAGAGCTCACAATTCAATGACTGGAGTCTTGGAAGAAACCGATCAGCTAGGTCAATGGAATTAGCTATTCCTGAAAAAAAAAACGGGAATAACATTCATGAGCGAACAACAGCATGAATCAAGACAAATAAGGATTAAAAAACATTTTGCAATCAAGACAATTATATAGAAATGAGTGTCTGACATAGTTGCAATGAATGATACCTATCAGTATACATCTAGAGAATGGAAAAGTTGTAAGCATGAAAAGATCATGAAGTACGGCCCTGTCCTTCGTAATCAAATAATCCAATTCATCGGCAATAATTAACCTGCAAAAAATCATAATTTTGGTTAAGGCAAAAGGAGAGGGGAAATAAAGATGCTTCAAGCTAGTTGAGGTAATTTCTCACATCATCTTCGAGCTGGATGGTGCCTGTTTATTAGAATACAGGTTCTGTAGATGTTGTAAATGTGATGTTGAGCCCAAAGTTTTTTTCTTTGATTGGTGCTTGCCAAGAATCTGCCAAGGTAATCATCAGGCAAACATTTGCAGAATTCAAGATTTGAATGTTGATGAAATCTTAATAACAATACCTTACTAAAAATCTCAGATGTGTTTGCTAAAGAAGTACAATTCATTGCTAATACTTCGGGCAGCTGCAACCCTTCCTGCTATATAAAAAGGAAATAATTGAAAGTGATAATCCATTTCAATAACATTACAAGGCAAAGGGATAAAAAGCAATGAACCTACCATTTTTGCCCAGTCAATAACTTGCTGTTTTACTTTCTCCATTGATAACGATTTCCCAGTCCCAGGACACCCACATAGATACAAACTCCCAGCTTTCTCTTGTTCTACACATGCCTTGCAGAACTCCAAAATCCTTTTCTGTTCATTTTCTCTGCACACAACAGTTGATGGAGCTGTTGAAACATGCAATGCCTCCTTAACTGCCCTCATTTGCTCAACATCTTAAAACAAACCAAAACCAACTTAATATCAACATTGATTGCTCAAAATCAAAACGCAAATGTATATTACAAAATTACCTCTCGGATTCCAATTTTTCTTCACTGGTTTTTCACTAAAATCTTCCTTAATTCCCTGTAAACATATAAAAATTAAGCAACATTAAACATATTTTAATCCTTATCCATTTAGGGTGAATAAAATCAGCAGATCCAAAAAGAATTATTAAAAAGAAACAAAGGCATAAATAAATGGCTTTTTTTTTTTTAATTTATCAAAAAACAACTAATTTTTCTATTAATTGTAATGATTGTTCAGATCAAATCGATTAAATTTTTTAATAATATATGAAATTATAAATTTTTAAATTTGATCAATCCAAATTAAATTTTTATATAACTTTTATAAATCAAATTTTATCAGTTAAATTCGATTTAATTCATTAATTTTTAAATTTTAAATTTTATATTATTTGAATATAATTTTTAATATAATTTAAATATAAAATAATTATTTTATTTTATAAAATTTAAAATATATAAAAATTAATAGAATATATAATACTATTCGATAGATTTGACCTTTTTTTAATTTTTATTTAAATTCGAAATCAAATACAAATTTAATATATATATATATATATATATTTAATATCCTAATTTAATTTAAATTAAATTAAATAATCAATCCGCACCAAACTCTAACTAAAATTTCAAATCAATTTTCAATTTTCTTCAATTTTTTTCTCATCCTGTTATTAATCTCATTTCACTCAATTATCTCAAAAATAATAACAAACTCTATAACTAGTTTGAACAAAAGCTACCATACAATAATCAAAGCAGTAAAACTTTTATATTGATGGCTCACATTTGCAGGGCTGTTTGGACTTGAATTCAAACGACGGCGAGCCGATTTAATTTTCGGCGTCGACACTGGACTCTCCTTCGCAGCCGCCTCATCGGATCTTAACCTCCGTTTCTGAGGAGTGCAACAACCGTTGGATCTAGCGGTACTACTACTCTTGTCCGAGTTGATGGCGGCCACCATTCCCTTGAAAGGAGACGAATTGCGATCGGCAATTGCAGGCATTATTGAATAAAACAAACTTTACCGGATAGATAAATTGGGAACAAAATTCAGGGATTTCGATTCGATTGACGATAGACTGATAAAATATGGTACATATATAAAAGAAAAACATTGCAAAAAAAAAAAAAGAAATGAGGAGCGGGTAACTGTTTTTTCGCGGGAAAAAAGTTTCGTCTCCCGCGTTCTATTCGATTATTTTTGAAGGCCCTTCGGCTACTTGCTCTGTGTTAACCCAATTAGCCTAAAGTCTCATTCTGCATTGCAAAACAATGACCGGCCCAATAGAAAATGCCTGTTTTATGGAGTTAAAGTCAAGCAAAAGTCGGGAATATCTTCGATCGTAATAAAATATATATATATATAAGAAATTTTTTGTGTTTTCTTTTAAAATGAAAAAAAAAAAAGTAAAAAGAAGCAATTACCCAAAATGAAACCTTCAAGAAAATTAATTAAAAACGTTACTATTAATGGATTAAAAGTCATTTTGGGTTTACCAAAGTGAACCTACTTAAATTAAGATTATATCTCAATTAATTTATATAATTATTTTTAATTATTGGTGTTCAATAGTTTTAAATTTTAAATTTTAACATTTGTAACCTTATCTCTTATTTTCATATTACTATCATTTTTATACAAAAAAAAACGTTGAATATGACTTACTGATATCGTGAATTAGATAAAACTTAAGATTTAAAACCATAATATTGAGGATTAATCTCATAAATAATTTTTAAATTATAATAAAATATTTAATATGATACATAAATTTAAAAAAATTTTAATATAATATTTGAATTATAAATTTATTAATTAATATGATATTTATTCATAATATGATTAATTTCAAATGATAACATATAATTAATAAATAATCTTTATAAATATTATATTAATTAATAAATTTATATTATATAAAATATTTTATTATAATTTAAAATTATTCATAACAATAACCCTTTAATTTAGCATGCTGTCAGTCCAAAAGGTTCTCAACTCCAAAAATGAAGTCAATCACATAAATAAAATTTTGTCTTACGTGCTATAAATCATTGCAAAAACAACAAAAGTTTGTTCGTCAAAATCTCTACTCCTCTATCCATAAGAAGTTTGGTAAGCAGTGAATAAGCACATATATACGCATTTTGTCCACTATTTTAAAGCAAATATTTTTGTCACGAAGCCATTAATATTATATAAATATATAAAAGTCAAAGTTTTTGGTAAAAAGAAAAAACAATCTTATTTGAACGACTTAAAATATTGATATGTAAACGATTTTAAAAATTGTCACATGACATCTAATAAATATATTTTATTTTATTTTGTATATTTTAAATTTAAAAATAATTCAAAAAATTAAATTGATTATATTTATGTTTTTATTATTAACTTTAAATCATTCTCAATTCAATTCATATTAAAAGTATTAAAATTGTAAAAAAAATTTAATTTGACAAATTAAATCAATTAATATATAATTAATAATTTAATAAATACTACAATTAAAATTTTAAAATAATTGATTCACTAATCAATTATTTGATACATTTATATTTGATTAAATATGGTATCCATTTGAGTAATCGATATATTTCATGTGTAAATATAGAAAGCAAATATATCAAATTAATTTTCCATAATTAAATTAATAGAAAAAACATTTTATTAATTTATATTTGATTGATACATTTATATTTCATTAAATATTGATTTCATTTGATAAAATATTAATGGATGTTTGATTTCATTTGATAAAATATTAGCACATGTGGATTTTATTTGATTTCATTTGTAACGTTTTATAATTTTAAAATTTATATATTACTGCATGTTGATTTAATATAAATTTTAATTTGTTTTATTATTCTAATTAATATATCTCTAAATGTTAATTGCATAATTAAATATTGTAATATCAATCAACCTAACATACCATTATTCACTCACAATTTTTATTATTTCAATATTAACTTTCATAATTTAAAATTATCTTATTAATTCATCTGCAACACACTTTTTGTATAAATAACTTTAAGTTAAGCATAATACATCTTTAACTATTTTTCACTAATTTTATATCTTTTAATCACTACTCAACTTTACTTTAATTTTTTCTCTAATTTTCAATTTGCATTGTTTCTTGTTCTGTGTTGCTAAAAGATTTTTTTTTTAACACTTATATTTTATATTTCTTTAACCATGATATTAGTTTTTTTTTTAATATTTTTTTGTTGATGTTTGATTTTAAAATGATTAGGCATGTACAAGGAAAGTATTTCACCAATAAAGTTATTATCATAAAAGTTGATACCACTTTTGGTTGGGCAAATTATTATATTATATTTATAATTGTAGAATTTGTATTTTTTATGTTGATGTTTGATTTTAAAATGATTAGGTATGTACAAGGAATGTTTATATTTGATATAAAAAAAATTATTATTCCATTATGATAATAAAAGTTTTTTAAATTATTATATTATATTTATAATTGTAGAATTTATATTTTTTATGGGTAGAAATTGAATATCGAGACATATAATAATTCTAAAAGGGTGATGTTCATACTATTCAATACAAAAGCTAAGGAATTAATTAATAGAAATATTGATAATCTTTGTGAAATATATATTAAGGTATTAAATTAAAAATTATTTTAATAGTATTTAATATTTAAATTAATTAAATAATATATTTATACTTATGATTTAGGAAAATAAAGATTATAAATTTTTAAAAAATATATGAAGATTTTAGAGGTAAATTTTGTATCTTTAAAACGAGGGTAACCAAACATAATATTAAGATAAGTAGTACAAAACTTATAGTAAATAAAGTGTATAATTTTAATCTTAAGCTTGAATGTAAAAACTTATTGGAAAAGCTATGTATAAATTTATTATAATGATTATGATTGTTATAAAGTTATATAATTTAGATTATAACTTAACTGTTGTCAAATTACATACAGATTATTGTTTTATCTATCTCTTTACTTACATATGTGAAATCTATTGACACATCAAATAAAACGACACATACTTCAAAATAGCAAGAAATATTGAAAAATCAATCGTTGCATCTTCGCTTCAATAACAACTTATGAAAGAATTCCCATGAAAAAAGTTTGTATTCGAGATTGATTTTAGTGATTAAATTTTTAATTTCTTGAAATCCAAAACATTATTGTCTTTTATTTAGAGATTATTTGGATTTAATAAATTATAGGTTGAGTTTTATTTAGAACTGATGACAATATATAAGTTATGAATTGTTCATAAATTTCATGGCTTATATTATTATTTTAAAAAATTTATATTTATATGAAATTTACTGATATATAAATATATTTTCACGCATCAGACGGGTTTAAAACTAGTTCTTAATAAATTATTAAAACATGCATATCCTTATTATATAGATACAAATCTATGATTTATTAATCGACTATATATAGATAAAAATTTTTTAAAAAGATCAATTTTCACGTGACATTTATATGTATAGATATAGAATTAATTGAAATAAACTTCCATGGATATGAATATAAAATAATTCAATTGATTTATATAATAATTTTAAAATCTAGGATTTGGCATGCTAGATTTATAAATCCTTCTTTGTGATTTTTTTTTGTTTGTATTAAACAAAATTTTCCAACTTAAAATCGATAATTACTATAAATCTAAAACTTCAGTGAAAACATAAATAACTTTGGGACTTATATTTTGTATGGAATTGAATGGCCAAAGGTGCGAAGATACTACTACTCAATGCTATATATGGGAAATAATTGGAATCGCTTCATCAAATGGACCCCCTCCATTTATGGACATACATATATAGTAGGCGAAAGTGAGGCCTTGCATATCGAAAATGACCTACCAATTCTAAGATGTTTTCAGTTGCCACATTACCAAAGTATCCACTTAATTCCTAGTTCCTTGCAATTAAGATTTAAAGTCTTTTTATTCATATTTATCAGCTGTGGATTCATCATATCCCATAACCTCAACCAAAAAATGAAATAAAAGTTGATGTATGGCCTATGTTTGAAGTCAATTCATGATATAATTACTTAGCATGAAAGTAAAATTATTTCTACATAATAAATTCATGTTTTTCCCACTTACTATAAATGATTTTACTAATTAATAGACCTGATAATTGTTTATTCATATCGTATAAAATATTAAAATTCATATATTTATGTCATATTTTACACAAAAAATATGTATTATAATTCGTGTCAGTATAAAATTATGAAAAATATTTTTATTTTGTTAAACTCATATATAATTATTATTAAAATTTTAAAACATGTTATCTTCGTATTCTATTTTCATATTGTATTCGTGTCATATTAGCATGTCTTATATTATCAACAAATGTGTAGAGGTATTTTAGTGATTTTGGGCTGACAACGGAAACAAAAGAGTACATCACGAAAAGTAAAGATGGAACTATCAGTTTGGGGAGGGAGAGGAAAGGAGAGAATAATCGATCCGTACGTAGACGAAGAGATAAGGAGATTGGCGTGGCATTGGCGTCTATATGAATGTCCCTGTCCGATCCTTGAACCCCATGTGTGAAATGAGAGGCCCATCCGCAACTTTTTCCCGTCGGTTATCGCTACTATTCTCATAATACAAACAATCAAGTCTCGACGACATATATCTACATCGACCTATCTCTTCTTCGGTTCTTCCTCTTTGTTTAGATGACTAAACCAAAGAATTTCCATCGTGTGAATCATGCTCTCTTTATCTTCAAACATCGATCTCTATGGCTAAATGCTGAGTTTTCTTTTTGTTGAAAAAATCATCAACATCAATAGCAAGATTTTTGTTGAATCTCAAAACCCTACCTATCAAGTGGTCCACATGTTATAGGCCTGTACATTTTGAAGGAATCTTGGAGAAACAATATATTTCTATGCTCTGTAGAAATTAAGGACACAATGGGTTTCATTTTCATCAAAAGATTTTTCAAGAATG